GGACAAAATGGACCCTTTGCTCCATCCTGTTCCTACCAAGACATTGACAAAGTCTCTCCTGGCTGCTTTTGGTACATCCCCACTGGTGCTGGCTGTCCCAGCACTGCTGCCCCCCAGGCTGGCCCATCTCTCCAACAGCCCTCATCCCTGTCATCCCGGGAAGTCCCCCTGGGACCCCCAGCCCCGCTGCCAGGCACTTCCCTCCCTCTCCCGCATGTCTCGGGTTGCAGCGGCTTGTTCCGGTGCTGCGGGACCACCCAGGGCCGCCGGCAGCTCCGGGACTCCCAGCCTCGACTGCAGCTCCCACAGCCACGCCTCGGACGCGGGGATGCGCCCGGGGCGGCCCCCGCAGCCCTCACGGCCCCTGTCCGCACGGGGCCCGCGAAGGGGGCCCGCGGCAGCCCCCACGAGCCCCGGGAAGCCAGGACCCGCGCCCCCGACCCCTGCAGGACCGTGCCCGGGACGTGGTGGGGCCGGTGCCCTTGTGCGCGGGGACGACGGGGCCCGCGGCGCCCGTGACCGTCAGCCCGCGGCGGGGCGGCTCTGTCCAACACGGCCGAGCCCCGCCGCCGCCCCGTCCTCCCGCTCGCCGCCCGGAGCCCCGGGGCCGGCGCGGACTCGGTTCACGGGCCTCCCGGTCCTCCCCACCATGGACGAGCAGCGTCCGCCGTGCCGCCCCCATGAGCTGCTTCGGGACTCGCCGCCCCGGCTGGAGCCGAGGGGCGGCCCCGGTGCCCTCCCCGGTGCTGGTGCCGCAGGGACCGTCCCCCGCCCGCCGCCCGTGCGCCCTCGCCGCCCGCGCACATTACCTGGGCGGGTATCGCCGACGCTGACGGTCGCCCGCGCTGATCGAGTCCCGGGCGAGCAGAAAGCCGGCGGCGAGGGAACCGGCGCCCACCATGGCCAGGAGGCCGGTGGAGCGGCGAGCGGAGAGAGCGCGGGCGAAGGTGCTGGCCATGGCGGAGCGGCGGAGCGAGCGCGCCGGAGCGGGCGGCGGACGTGAGGGGAATAGGAACGGGAATGGGAATGGGAACGGGAGCGACAGCGGGGCGAGCGTGGGGGCGGGGAGCCGGCTGGGCACGGGGGGGCCGGGCAGCACCGCCACCTGCTCGGCTGCCCCGCCCCGCCCCGCCCCACCGGAGCCGCCGGCGCTTTCAGCACCGCGCGCGGGACAGCGCCGGAGGGGCAGTTGCTTCGTGCCGGACCGGCTTCTCACCGAGACCCACGCCCCGGATCCCCGCGCCGCGCTCCGTGGCGGGCGGGGGCGGCCGGTTGAAAGTTCGTGCACCTGAAGCCGGGAGCGGCGGACTGCTTCTCTACGAGATGCGGCCCTCGATGGGTCGCGGGGCCGGGGGCCGGTTCTCGGAGGTCACCGGCCCTCCCGCAGTGCTCTGTGCCCGCCGCACCGCGGGACCGCACCGGCGGGGCAGAGAGCGCACCGCGTTCGCCGCCGCAGACCCCGCGGGACGGGAGGTGCTGGCGCACCGCCGGGCCGCTCCGGCACACGGGAAACGGCTGCTCGGTAGAGCCGCGCGCCCAGCCCGGTACAGTCGTACGGCCGCGCGTCCCGCTCGGTGCAGCCGCGCGGGTGCCGTTACAGCGCGGACCCGGCGCGGGGCCCGCGCCCACGTGCGTGCGGCGCGCCCAGCACTGCAGCAGCTCCCGCCGCCGCCGCCAGGGGCCGCCACGCCGCGTCCGCCCGCGTCCCGGCCGGCCCGCCCCGTCCGCGCCGATTGGCTGCGTGCGGCCGTCAGGAGGCCGTGATTGGCCGGCGGCAGCGCCCTCGGCGCAGGGTGCGCTCGGAGGTCGCAGGTGAGCGGAGGGAAATGGCGGCTCTCGGCGTGGCGCCCCCTGCTGCCGGCGGCGGGGGCCGGGGCGGCCCCGGGGCGGCCGGGGGGCCGGGGACAGGCGGGACCGGCGCCGGCGAGGGAAGGCAAGCGAACTGAAGGAGGGGTGGGGCGGTCGGCTGCGCCGCTGCTGGGCCCGGTTTGTTGGCGGCTGTCGGGGAGCGCCGGGCGGACGGCAGCGGTGGCATCCCGTCGAGCGCGGCCCGGCGCCCTGCCGCTCCCGCGGCCTGCTGCCGGCCCCCGCCCGTGTCTGTGGGGCCGGGCGTAGCGGGATCCCCCCGCGGCGCGGGAGCTCCGCCCGGCACGGACGCAGCGGCGGGCGGGGCTCCGCTCGGGGCCGCCGCTCGGTCTGCCGGGGCCGCCGCGGTGCCGGTACCTGCCTGCCTTCCGGCCCGCCCCGTGCGTGGCTGCTTGGGGCCCCACGGCTCTCCCGGGCCGACCCCAGCCCCGCTCCCCAGGCCCGCTGTCCCGCCTGCGGCGGACGGGCCGGGGTCCGCTCGGTCCCCGCGGTGTGCGCGGGGCAGAGAGGCAGCGGCCCCGCGGCAGTAAACCCTCACGGACAGGGACCGTGTTGGGAGAATTCCGGTGCTGAGGAGTTTCACGTTTTACAAGTTCATGAATCTCATTAAATATTACATTATGAACAATGTAGGCGAGGCACAACCCTGCTCGGTGTGCGGGGTGAACCCAGAGGCTACACGGGGTCTGCAGGAGGAGCTGGGCTGGAGCCGTGCAAGGCGCCCGTCTGCTCTGCGCTCTGGGTTTGCAGCTCTTGGTGTGTTCGCCGTCTCTGAAAATGCTGCTTGAACAGGCTGAACTTGACTTCAGCTTCCTGGCTGTGAACACCTTGAGCTCCTGTGTTACCAGAACAGAGGAATTTCTGTGATACACCACATCCAAATAGCTTTAGTTATTAGCCCTAGTGTAGGGGGGTTTTCTCTTCTGAAGCAATTAAGTGTCCATGATAAGAGCACAGCGGTCACCTTTTGTAAGTATGGAATTAACCTTAATGCAAACAGCCCTCATAGCAATGGAAGTAACTCTTTGGGCAAAGGTGTGTCACTGGCCATGCGTGCCAATGGGCCGAAGTTTTCAGGGTTGGGTTTTTTGGGTTGGTTGGCTGGTTGTAGGGCCCACAATAGTTTCAGGCAGTTCTACAAGACAGTGTCAGTATACCAGCAATGTGTATTTTCAAAGGTCGTGATCATGCAGGTGCTTGACCTGACTTGGCCAGGCTGTGAGTCTCCAAGCGGGATCATCCTTGCAACCTGCCTGCATGCTTGGGTACCCCGAATTCCTCAGGCCTCCTACCGAGTGCCACCTGGAGTGCCCAGGCCTGGGCACTGCTCCAGAGCTGCCTCTTCCACTGCCACCAGTGATATGACCAGCTGTGTTCCCATCCGAGAGCCCGGCATTGCAGAGACTGCACCTGCATCTGCACATTTTGTTTAAAAAACAGAACAAAAACTCGACATCCAAACCCACTCTTTTAGTGATTAATGCCACACTGAATTCAAAGTCAATACAAGACCTGATCATACCTTCTCTCTTAAATGTCTGGTACCTCAGAAGAAGGGCACAAAGAGCCTCTTTACTCTGTGAACACCCTTATCTAAACAGCACTGGAATAATCTGCTGGGGAACTGGAAAGCTATTTACTATCTCATTTCTTATCAGTAATACAGGGCAGTCTAGGGAGTTTGAATCAGTCCCAGGGCTCTCAGATTGTGTGTCAGCAGGTTCTGATTGCTGTTGGGTGATTACAATAACCTTTGATATGATTGTGCAGCGAATCACAGCTGCCCTTCTTGGAAGCGCAGCAGGAAAGTCTTAACTGTGCTTCCTCCTGTATCTGTGGCAGGACTGCCAAGCCTGAATATTCTGACTCAAAGCCAGATCCACCTTTACCTTTGTGTGCATGTGCCAGAACTGTGTTAATGCTTTTGTCTCCCTTGGACAACACAACCAGCAGCATTAACATAGAATTTTCTTGCCGTGATAAGTGAAAGGTGAGGCCCATAACACTCAGCAACTGGGAACTGTGCTGAATGTGTGACCTCCAGGAGCAATTAGCTCAGCAAGCAACAGGGACAATGATGAACCATCAGCATTGTGCAGTTGGCACCTCTTGTTGCTCTGGGTGTGATGAGTTGTGGGCTGGGTGATGCTCAAGACCCTGTAAGTGTTGTGTAAGGGCAATTGCCACCGTCCTGGCACATGAACCCCATGACAGCTCAGCACTAGAGCTGGCTCATGTGTTGTGGGCAAACCTCCTCTTACTATCCTTTGATACCAGAATAGAGCTCCACTTGCCTGTGTCCGTTTAAGAACAGCAGTCTGAGTTTTCAGTGCTGTAGTCATACCTGTAGCTAAAAGTTCTATTTCATCAAGAGTGTAGTCACTTGTTATAAATCTAGTCAGGTAAGGGATCTTCGTTTAAGAAAAACTTGAAAAAGGTTTTTGTTAACCCTCTTCCCCTACCCACACCTGAGATCATGAGGCTTTCCCTGTTCATGCCACAGATATCAGTAACTGTCAGCTTCAGTGAGGCTCTGAGTTTTTACCTGGTTTGAGTATGGTGTGTCATGACCTTGAGACATAGCTATAGAGCAAGGAAGAGGCTTTTCTTCTGGGATAGGAACAGGAATGTAGAGAAGTTGCTTTCTTAGTTCTTAGGGCAAAGGTTTCCCTGCTGCTTGATCTGTTTTTTCCAGGAGGGAGGGGAGAGTAAGGGATTGGAGAAAATAACCCTCCTCCTCCTCTTGCGTGGTTTACTTCACTTCAATAAATCATCAACCATCAAACTGATAGTGTACTTGCTAAGGACTCATTCTGCACTGGGGTGCCAAGGCAGCAGGGCACAGGGACGAAGATGGTTCCTGAGCGCGTTGGGAATTGTACTCTCGTCTTCCTGTGGAAATAGAAGGGCTATATGGAGAACATAGTAAATGTCTTTATAGCCTGGTCTGCCAGCACCGTTGCTCCCATCAGCAGCGAGCACTGACACTGATGGTGAGTTACAGCTCTAACTCTCGCTGACTGGGACACTTCTGTGCCAGGTGTGTGCTGTGCCTTGAGGCTTGTGTGGGAGCAGCAGCACTGGGCCTGGTGCACAGGCATCCGTTGAGTTAGGTGGAGGAGATTGTCCTTGGTGTGGTAGGTACAAAGTCCAGGCTTGTTGTGTTCCTCTCTGCTTGCTGTTGGGTTGGTGTCAGCTCCCCCAGTAGATCTGATGTGGCATCTGATGGGTTTGTGTCCAGCCAGTGCCTGGTAGTGCGACTGCAGGTCCTTGTCTGATGTACTTCTGCTCCAGCACTTTCTCTGAGCACTTATGTGTTACATCTCATGCCCTTTCTGGGAGCGCGCTGCCTTTCTGCCTGGAGGTCTGTATTATTCTACCCTGACTTTCAAGGGGACTTCACAGACAGATGGATCGTTCTGTGTGTTGGTTTCTTTTGCATGTTCGCACCCTGCTCAGATGGATTGAGTCAATCTTCTGCTGTTGTTCCCGGTGAAGGGATTCTCACCTGCCCTGATGCCATGCTGGCAACAGGCTGATGGCCTTGGGGTGTGCCTCCTGTTGCTGCCAGAGGACTGGGAACAGGCAGATGTATGTGGCAAGTTGGTCTCCTGCAGTGTCCTGGCTGTAAGGAAATGCATCACAAAAGAGGAGGAAATACAGTAACTCTTAGTCTGGGGAATGCTGGAAATCATGTGAGAACATGAGAAGCAGCTGCAGAAAGTGTTTCATGTCCGTTTTTAGGAAGTTCTTAATATCGTGAGGTGTTCATAATGTCCTCTCCTCAAGGTTGCACTGACTCAGGAGGTATGCTTTTGACCACTTTATAGTTGGGAAAAACACAGTGAAAAGCACCCCCTTCACTCTTGTGTGGGTGCAGCTCTGGTCAGAGGTGAACAGCTGTGTCCTTGGCACGTACAGATCAGGGGAACAGCGTGTTCAGACTCTGTCCCTTCTGCGGCAGGCAGTGCTGCTGCTGTAGGTGACAGTGCAGGACACGCTCCTTTCCTGGCATTTCTAACTCATAGCATGTATTTGCCGGCCAGTCAAAAGAGGTGATTGTCCTGTTCTGCTCTGCACTGATACGGAGCATTTTGAGTTCTGAGGGCAGTTTTGGGCACCCCAATATAAAAAAACATTAAGCTATTGGGTCTGGAGGGGAAGCCTTATGAGGAGCTGCTGAGGGCACTTGGTTTGTTCAGCCTGGAGGACACTGAGATCAGACCTTGCTGGAGTCTGACACCCTCCCGAGGGGCAGTGGAGGGGCAGGTACTGATCTCTTCACTCTCATGAAGACTCAGTAACAGGACTCAAGGGAACAACTGGAGCTCTGTCGGGAGATTTAGACTGGATATCAGGAAAAGATTTTAAACCCAGAGGGTGGTCATGCACTGGAACAGGCTCCCCAGGTCATGGCCCCAAGGCTGACAGAGGTCAAAGAGTGTTTGGACAATGCTCTCAGTACATGGTGGAATTGTTGGGGTGACCTGCATGGAGCTGGGAGTTGGACTCGATGATCCTGATGGGTCCCTTCCAACTCAGCATATTCTATGATTCTCTGATTTGGCGATGTAGTGAATCAGAGCTAGCTTGCAAACCCAGACACCCTGACCTGCAATCCAGACTGTTGCTGATGCTTCCTTTGTGTCCTCTTTCCCTGCCCCAGAGTTGTCACTTCTTCCTTTTCCCTCCTCCCCGCAAACTCCTGCACCTCTCAAACTGCTCTCTCTCTTACTGTAGGTCTTCTTGAGCTGAAGGGATGAAAATTGCCAATTGGAAAGTCACTGTCACTGTCCTGAGCTTTATCCTGACTTCTGGAGTCGCAGTTGATGTCTTTGGGCACATGAGCCTGGGAGAGTGTCCCCTGTCCCTGTCCATGATTTAGGCAGCGGCTGGAGCATGCATCACTGTAAGGGTTACACGATTTCAGTGCTGGTGGTGACACTGTTCCAGTGCAAGGGGGTTGATTGCAAAATGCAGCTACCTATCTAAAATGATACAGAATTCCGGATCCCCTCCCACCCTGAGGGTCTCCTCCTACTCCCTCCTTTTCTGCTGGGCAGCACCATCCCTGGGCTCCCTCATGCCAGATCAATCCCTGCCCTCCCCACCATCACCTGCATCCATCGCGCAGCCAGTCCCAGGATCACCCTGCGTCTGACTTCTCTCTCCCTTTTGCATGCTGTCATTCCAGAGCGGGATGGTTGGCCACCGAGGCTACAATGTCGTCCTTGACGACCTCCAGTGAGGGAGAGAACTCCACTCCCAGGTTTGTTGTTGGTTCCAGAGATGATGAGACAGAATTTCTGGGATCAAACATGAAGACAGATGAAACCGATTTCTTTGAAGATGATGAAGAGGAGGAGTCGGTAAGGAGGTCCCAGCATTCTGGGCTGGAGCACCTGTGCAGAATCCCTGGGTCTGGTTATTGCTGAGACTGCAGGCAGTTGGGACACGGCTCTGGTTGTGAGGCACAGCTGTGGGACATGGCAGTGGCATTTCTGACAAGGCATATTACTGTTGTCATGCTGCCTCAGGAAATCCAGCATTTTCACTTGCAGGTCTGATTCAGGGACAGTAGTGGATTTCTGTGTCCTAGAAACTTAACCCTGACACTCCTGTAAACCTTTCTGTTTCACCAGGAAAATTTTTGAGGAAAACTCTGGGACCTGTGAAAAGGGCAGAGGTGTCTTTGCAGAAGAGGAACATTTATTCATTTCTGTCACCTCCAGGAATATGAGAATGATCTCCAGCTCCCAACTGCTTTTGGCCCCTATTCAGTGTCATACGAAATTTTACTAAACTGATCTCTGTCTTCTCTTAGCCACCGGAACGGCAGATCGTGGTGGGAATCTGTGCCATGACCAAAAAGTCTAAGTCAAAGCCCATGACACAGATTCTAGAGCGTCTGTGCAAGTTTGAGTACATCACAGTGGTGATCATGGGGGAAGATGTTATTCTGAACGAACCAGTGGAGAACTGGCCCTCTTGTGACTGTCTGATATCCTTCCACTCCAAAGGTAACACATGTATAGCAGGCCTTAGCCTGCTTGAGTTGTGGGCAAGGGAGCTTGCTCTCAGCCTTCCCCTATGTCCCTGCCCTATATTTCAGGATTCCCTCTGGATAAGGCGGTTGCTTATGCCAAGCTGTGCAAGCCATTTCTGATCAACGACCTTGATATGCAGTATTATATCCAGGACAGGTGGGTATCTAAGCCACTAAAGCCTCTTCCCTCTTCCTCTGTCTGATTCTCAGCCCACTGCACAGAATTCATCTTTCTGACCACAAGCAAATGAGTGAGGTGGGAGGAAGGGGACCTTAGCTGTGGCTTTTTGGGGTTGTTCCTCTAAAACATGGAGGGGAATAGCTTTGAGGGTAAACCATTGAGACCTGGCATATTTCATTTTCTGGTGCAAATGTCTTGTAAGGAATGGATGAGAAGTAGGAAGTGGGAGAGTTCTCACAGAACAAGGCTGCCACGACTAAAGAAAAAAGGTAGTCTCTGAGCAGAAGAGCCAAGTGGTAAGATGGGGCTCTGAGACAGAAATTAGGAGCAAGGCCAAGTCAGATTCTGTGGAAGATGTGTTGGTTAGACTATTGAGGCTTCTCAGTCATCTGCTGGTAGAGGCCACCAGCAGCCACGTACTTCAACTGTTATGCCCAGGCTGTTTTACCTGTGTATGGGTAAGGCTCCTATAGACCCCAAACCTCCTGCCCTGTCTTTGGGGTGGTGAGCATAGCTGTGTGGGTGCTGGCAGGCACCCCAAGGTATAACTAGTGAAAGACACAGGATGAAAGAAGGCTTTGCTGCCTCTGTTTGGCTTAGGCACTGGGCAGCTTGGCATGACGGCACTTTCCAAGAGGGCAGGTCTGACGAGGTGGCGTGTATTGGGTATGCTGCTATGTTTTGAGCACGTTCTAATAATTGAGCACCCATGCTTAGGCCAAGTAGAGATTTACTTTGGGGCATCTGTGTCCAGAATACGACTGAGGCAAACCCCACAGCCTGTAGGTCTCATCCAGAGAGCATGAGCTGAGAAGTGTTTGCACTTTGTCTTGAGGCTTTTTTGTATTCATTTGACTTTGTTTGTCACTAGTGGGAATGAAGTCTTCCCACTGACATGTACTGAGGACCTTCTACACTCTTCTGACACTGTTTCTGTCCTCTACAGGCGTGAAGTGTATCGGATCCTTCAAGAGGAGGGAATAGACCTGCCTCGCTATGCTGTGCTCAATCGAGACCCTGACAGACCAGAAGGTCAGTGTCCAGGCTCTACTGAAAGCCATTTCCCCAGGCTATGCTATTTAATATACTCTGTAGAGAACAGGCACTGGTAGTCACCTCAAAGAACCCTGACTCACAAATCTATAGGTTTTTTTTGTGAATAAAGGTCCCAACAGCAAAACTGGCTGATGGGTTGGGGAGGGGCTGTGGCTCTGCACTAGGGCTGTCTCACCTTTCCTGATGTGCTGCTGCTGTGCTCTGTCTTCAGAGTGCAACTTGGTGGAAGGAGAGGACCATGTGGAGGTGAACGGAGCTGTTTTCCCAAAGCCATTTGTAGAGAAGCCAGTCAGTGCTGAAGACCACAATGTGTATATTTACTACCCGACATCAGCAGGTGGGGGCAGCCAGCGGCTCTTCCGTAAGGTGAGGAGGGGTCCCCAGAGCTGGTGTTGAAACCAACAGATCTATGGATCTGAGACCCACATGGCTTCAGCGAGGAGTGTTAGGGCAAGTGAAGGGGAAATAAAGGTTTTGTGTTATGGAAGTCTAGACCTTAGAACTTTTTGTTCGACTCCATATACGTGGGAATCACAGAAGGACATATTTTACTGGTAGTGCTGACTTCCCCTTCCCCATCCTCTGTGTGACATGAGTCCCATTTTGAGCAGTCATGGAGCACTGTGGTCCTTTATGAATTGCACGTTGCTTTTTCCAGATAATTTCCTGGGTTTATCAAGATGATTTTTAAAAAAAACTTCTCTTCTTGTCCTTTAACATTATTCCTGCCCTTCTCAGCTTAGCGTAGCTTGCACATGTGATAAAGGCAGTATTTTTTCCTAGGTTCCACAGTAAATCTGCCTTTACTCACTTCTCCCACTTTGCCAGTGAACAATTATATCTGTGATGTATCTTTTTCCCAATCAGTTACGCATCTGCCATTAATAATTCTAAAACGATTGTTCCCTTAGGTAAGATACAGGCATGCCACTTGAGATTGTATCTAAAGCCTTAATAAAAATGAAAACATTATCCTTGATATTGATAAGATCAGTCCCCCTCCTGGAAGGAAGTTAAATGGGTTGGATTATCCCCTGTCATCGTTTATTTTAATTTGCCTATTAGGCTCCTAACTTTTTATGTTTTTGTCCACTGTTTTTTTGTTACGTATCACTGAAGTGGTTGGAGTCAACCTCATGGTCTGTAATATCTTTTCTCCTCTTTAAAACCTGGAAAATTACATACCTACTGCCCATGTTTTGCAGTCTCTTTATCCTCTAATAAAAAAAGTGTTCTGTAGCAGCTGGGGGTTCTGAGAGGCTAATTCTTCGCTAATTCCACTAATTCTTGAAACTTCTTAATTTTGTTGTTCCATCTGAAAAAAAGGGAGCCTGGTATTCTCCCCTGAGGTGCTTATTCTGTACTCTCAGATTGGCAGCCGGAGCAGCGTGTACTCGCCAGAGAGTACTGTGAGGAAGACAGGCTCCTACATTTATGAAGAGTTCATGCCTACGGATGGCACTGATGTAAAGGTAAAGGAAAGCCTGGAACAGCTCCTTTCTTCTCCAGGTCTGTGAGAGCTGAAGGTTGGGGAGTCCTGCTTAGTCCTACTAAGGCTCTGGAGTGTGTGTTTAAGCTGTGAGGTGCTGACTGTGCAGCTTGGGCCCCAAAGCGGGGAGTGTGCGCTCTGTAGGTCACACTAGGAGGAATGTGTGAGACCATCTGAACTCCTTCTCTGTGTCTGCACCAGAAATACCTTCTGGAAGGTGCAGTTAGTCTAGATGCCTATGTCAGGTGTAACTTGGTCTCTTCCAGGTGTACACTGTTGGGCCGGACTATGCTCATGCAGAGGCTCGCAAATCCCCCGCTTTGGATGGGAAAGTGGAACGGGACAGCGAAGGGAAAGAAATCCGTTACCCGGTCATGCTGACTGCCATGGAGAAACTCGTTGCTCGTAAAGTCTGTGTAGCCTTCAAGGTTTGTGTTTTCTTTCATGTGCAAGCAGGACTTCATGAATGTCTGATCCATATATCTGGGTCGGAGTTAGAACTTGTCACCCTGGCATGTCTCAGGCATGGCAGTCCTCCATGCCTGATTGCCAGCTGCTGGTCCTGCTGGGCAGAGGTGCCTGGGAAGGCAGGAGGCCTGCAGCAAATGCCTGCTGTGCTGGCAGGTGGCTGGTGTCCTATGTACATCTGAGCATTTAATATGGGATCTTGAGCGTGCTGCTCTCTATCTGACCTGTGCTCATCCTGCCTTTACTATTTCCTGCTTTTGTTTATGTGAAAATTTGGCCTTTCTGCTTTTCTATTTTTTGATGGTGTTTTGGTACTTTTTTCTTCTTTTTTTATTTTCTTTTTTATCTGGCTCTGGTGCAGATTTATGTTTTATTTTGCATGTGGGTAGAGTGAGTGCGTGATTCTAGATATGGTTCCATGACATGTTCAGCAATGTCAGCAGAAGAAACACTGGCTTCTTGTTCCTCTCACTGTAATCAGTAGCCCATGTAGTTTTACTGATTCAGACTTGGGCTCCTTTCAACCTTGTAGCCTTTTCCACATAATGATGGATATCTTTGCCAGCACCACTTCTTGTCTGTGCTTATCAGTCTGGTTCAAAACTGTTGGATTTGGAAGGAAGAGCAGGAAATCCAGGAGCTGCTCTGTTTTAGGCCACTAGAGCTCTGGGAGGTTCTGTGTCGGCTTCATCTGGGGGTTTGCAGCTTGGGCCTTTGCTACGGCAATGAGGGTGAAAAGGTTCCTCTGAAGGACCTGGCCCTTCATAGCTATGGTATGTGTTCACACTTCTTGGAGACTTGTGAGGTGGGCACAGAGTGGAGGATGGCTGCAGCATCAGTGGGGCTGAACTGGGCAGCATTGGCTGGATCTGTGTGTGCCCCACTGGCAGGGCAACTGCTGTCCCCCACTGTGGTGGTGGTCCCTCATTGTGTGCCCAAGTCCCATGTCCTCTTGCTTCTTCCTGCAGCAAACCGTGTGCGGGTTTGACCTCCTGCGGGCCAACGGCCACTCCTTTGTTTGTGATGTGAATGGCTTCAGCTTTGTGAAGAACTCCATGAAGTATTATGATGACTGTGCCAAAATCCTTGGGTATGTACAATTCAAATTTTGATAAGGGAGTACGATAATTCACAGCAAAGGAAAATGAACATGGAGTCCTGGTCAGTATGTCGGAGAAGTCTGCAGATGGTTCATTTGGGTCATTTGTTCAGCAAATGAAAGCTTGGCTCTGGGAGGAATGAGTTACTTATTTTTAGCCCCTGGAGCTCCTGCCGGCATTGGCATTAGCTGTCCTGTCTTTGTCTACAGCTAGGTATATCTTACAGGACTTTTCATTGTTAAGCTTTCTTGCAGTATTGGTGATGTGAGGGATAGTGGTACCCCTTTGGGGTGCCCTCATTAGCCCACAGTGTAATAGGTGTCTCTCCAAGGAAAGTGAGGGGAAATTCTGTGTCTCTCTTCAAAGTCTTTCAGCTGGACTGCTAAGGAAGAGGTGTAGAACCAAGGGAATGGAATTTCTTGTGAGTGTTGTATTCTGATTTTTTCCAGAAATATAATCATGCGGGAATTGGCTCCCCAGTTTCATATACCCTGGTCCATCCCAACAGAGGCAGAAGACATTCCCATCGTTCCCACAACTTCAGGCACTATGTGAGTACCTGCCATCTTCTCAAAAGAATGCCAGTGATGGCTACATGAGGGGCAAAGTGCAAACCCTGTCCAAGGGCCCAACACCACTAGCAGCTCAGTGTCCTCCAGCTGCTGTGCTGCTTAGAAGCCTGAAACGCCTGTGGAAAGGCTTAGCCATGCACACAGAAGATGTGGCATGGCATGTAGGTTTGCTGAATGCAGACAAGCAGTCACTGAAGAAATTATGGGAACTGCTCACATGGCTTTCAGAGGGCCCAAATTCTTGATCAGAAGAGGAAACGGATCAGGGCGTTGCTGTAGCTGGCTGCTACTTTAGAGAAAGTGCATGCTGCCAGTGAAACAGGTGGAAACAATTAGCTGAAATATTGTCATTACCCATACACTTGGCAACCCCTTATTTCATACTTTTGCTTTACTAGTTTTCCACTACAGAAGGCTAAAAGACCAAAGGCAAAAGCTTCTTTGTGATCCTCAGGATACTTGTACACATGCATGAAAACAGACGACCTGTTAGGATCTGAAGAGCTTTGACTGTTTCTGCAGCCTTGGCACTTGCACCTGCTTTAGTCTGAGAGAATTTCTGACCCTGATGGGGAAAGCAGCTGTCAGAAGAATGGAACTGAAAGACAAATGGGAAACTACTCCCTGGTGGCAATTCTGGAGTGTAGGGGCACATTTGTCAGGTGTACCTTATGTTTCCCCAGGATGGAGCTTCGCTGTGTAATTGCAGTCATCCGGCACGGAGATCGCACCCCAAAGCAGAAGATGAAGATGGAAGTGAAGCACACGCGGTAAGAGCCAAGGCAAGAAGGTGCTGTGCTGCTGGAAAGGGAGGAGGGCCTGTGCTCTGAACCAGGAGCAGAGGGATGAGTGTCTGGGAGGCAGAGCTTTTTTCTGGCTCCATCCAAGCAAATGCTTTCAGCCCAGTTGAGAAAGCTCCCTTCCCCCATTAGGATCCTGGCACCTTCTGTGTGAACACTGGAAGGGAGAGTGAAGGTCTGCTAGGTGCTGTAAAGGGAAGTGCACCACTAAACTGAAAGCTAGCTAGTGGCTATATTGAAAACCACTTGTTTTTTCAGAATTTCTGAAGCACAGGGAGGAGCCAACAGGCTGCTGGTTCTCCCTGAAGGACAGAGACTGAATGCACATGTAGGGATGACGCTCCTTGTATTACTGAAACAGCAGAAAATGAATCAGCATTCTTTGTTGTCTGTTCAGGTTCTTTGAATTATTTGAGAAATATGATGGTTACAAGACAGGGAAGTTGAAACTGAAGAAACCAGAGCAGCTACAGGTAAGGAAGTCCATTTTGGGGTTACTGTGTGGGACATGCAGGTAATAGAGATTCTGGTGCAAGGCAATTCTTTGAGAGGGTAAAAACCCTCAAAAGGGCAACAGTCTGTCACACAGAGGCTCCCTGTCTGATTCTACACCCTGTGCACACTCAGCTGATTGACAGCAGGAGAGCAGAATGGAAACTTCTCCGGGCTGATGTGCACACTGTAGGATGGGGTTGTAGGACCCGATGCAGCTTGCCCACCTGCTGCGGTTGCCTCTGGTGGCAGATAGGAGTGGGGTAGTTGGAGGTGCCTGCTTGATTCTCAATGGGAGTGGAGCACAGGGTGGGAATGAAGCAAACTGCCATGTGAAAGTTTGTCCTGCCTGAGCTGTGTCTTATGAGATGACATATCTCTGAGGAGTGTCTGTCTGGACCTGATGCTAGGTCAAGCTGTAAGGAGTCCTCACAGGAATTTACAGTGGTGAGTCTGAGGCAGAATTGCTGTCTGCTTTCCAACAGGAAGTGCTGGACATTGCGCGCCAGCTTGTGGTGGAGCTGGGAAGCCACAGTGATTGTGAAATTGAGGAGAGGAAATCCAAACTGGAACAGCTGAAGAGCGTCTTGGAGATGTAAGAGTTCCTATCTCAGGGCACCATGGGTTTGCCTCGGAGCATATGATACAGAAACAAACTGTGCTGCTGGTGTCCTGGCCAGATGGCCCCAGAGACTGGGGTCTCCTCTGTCCTGTGTTAGCAGCTGTACATGATCGTAACCTTTTCTTATTGACATCAAGCCCCCTGCTGGTTCTTGTCCTAGGTGTGTCTGGTCTTTGACTAAACAACTTGAGAAAATTGAGCTTTCGTTGCTGCAGTAGAGAAACTGGAGTCCTGAAGGGACCACGTTGATATGAAGCATTTTGATAAATTTGGAACAAATCTTGTTTTAAATAAGGTTGTCCTGTGCCAAAAGTTTAACAAAAAGAAGCTCAGAAAACATGAACAGATGTTTGTGTCCTTTCAGGTTTTATACAGTTGAAATAAAAGATAATATGGTGGTTTTGGCATCTTAGAAACAAAACCAGGGTTTCTCTCAGGACTGCAGGTCGCTTTGGCACACACAACTGATGTCTGTGTTCAGATTGAGTCTCTGGAGCACAGAAGAGCATTTTTTGTGGTAATTGCCTCCCCTGCTCTTTCTGCTCATTGCAGAAATTAGTTACCCTCAGTGCATCTGTCAGAGTATTTTATGTTGTGATCTCATTAATTCACTTGTTAAAGATGTAGATAGAGATTAAAGCCCTAGTGAGGAATGTTCTCAGAGTGTTCTTGGTTGAAGAGCAAGTAAATGGATTTTTGAATTTCGTTTGGGGGAGCTGTTTGGCTTTTTCTGGGGGGATGTGCTCGGTCAGGGAGATGGCAAAAAAATCCAGGGAAATGGCAAAAATCTTGATATTTCATGGCAATGGGTGTTGCAGCAGAAAGTCTCTTGCCTGTGCTGTACTTAAACTGTGTGCTGCCTGGGGACCTCTGGGCAAAAGCTGAGTGGAATTGACTTGTTTCATTTTTTTTTCTCCCCTCCCTTGTGACAGGTATGGGCATTTTTCTGGCATTAACCGTAAGGTTCAGTTGACTTATCTGCCTCATGGACATCCAAAAACTGCAAGTGAAGATGAAGGTAAAGAAACCTCATGTTGGTACCCTGATCTTCAAGGCTGGAGTTCAGGTGTGCGTGCAACTACCCTACTTGTATAGGTCTCTAGACATGCAGGCCAAAACTGGTGACCTGTGTCTTGTCTTTGCTCACATCATAGGAAAGGTTGGAGTGATGCTTAATGTGGTTTCAAGTACACCCTGGTTTGCCACAGGGCTTGTGCTTCTAATTTTGTGAATGTCACCTTATACCTTCAAAAAGTAGTGACCGAATTTCCTCCTTTCTGGTTTGGTTTCTGGGGATTTGGGGTCAGGTTTATGTTGAGAACACTCTGTAGGGTGCTGATGACAACCTTTTCTTCCTCCCCTCCTCTCCCTCTGCAAGCTCAGGTATGAGATTTGATGTAGTCAGTACCTGTTTGTCTCCTAGAAGCTCGCCGAGAGTCCTCCCCCTCCCTTCTCCTGGTGCTTAAGTGGGGTGGAGAGCTGACCCCAGCAGGAAGAGTCCAGGCAGAAGAGCTGGGGCGAGCCTTCCGCTGCATGTATCCTGGAGGCCAAGGTGAGCTTTGTCCAGGTACCTCTGGTCCTGCCCTGTGCCTGCCAGGCTGCTCAACCCAGGTGAGGGTTACTCAGGCTGTGCCTGTGTGTGGCCTCTAGGACTAATTCTTGTTCTTTTGAGTTGACATGGCAGGAATAAATAGTTTTGCACCCAAAAATGTGTAAGCTGTCCTGAGAGGTCTGCTGCAGTCGTTAACTTCAGTGTGTCAGAGCTTTCTTTAAATAATGTGCCAGGATTTAAAAAAAAAGGTTGTTCTAATAAGATACATTCTGAGGCAACAAATATGATTCAAAATTTATGGACTATTAAAAAGAATTTAAGTCAGATGTAGAGAACGGAGGAAATCTGTCTTGGAACACAGATAATCCTACCCTGGGACAGGAGAATAGGAAGCTCCTCCATATTTTTTCCATCATAGTTCTGAAAAGCATCTAGTATGCACACAAATCAACAAGAGCCAAAAATGAAAAAAAAAAAACAACCTGAGATTGGAGATTGCCTTTGAGTCAGGACTAATACACTGCTGCTGGATTGGCCCAGTGAGCCCAGTATTGGATACTACTTGTCTTTGACTTGTATGTTTAATTAATTCCATTTAATTAGTTACATTTCAAATTAATTAAGGAAATTTAAATTGGATTGGAGAAGATTTCCTTCTGGAATAAGGAAGAGTTAGTTAGCCCTGGTGGAAAAGGATTGGGCCAGGACTTAAGCAAGCTGGACATACGTGAGCCCAAGGGCCCTCACGGGCTGCACCCACAGTGCTGAGGGAGTGGGGAGGTGTCCCCACAAGGCCGCTCGAGATTCTCTTTGAAAGTCTGTGTGGACTGGGGGATGCGCCTGAGAATTGGAGGAGAGGAAATGTCACTCAAACAGGAGGGCCCAGGGGAACTGCAGCTGGGTCAGCCTCAGCACAGTCCACGGGATGGTATTGGAGCAGCTAATCCTGGAGACCATTCCTTGGCACATGAAGGATAGGCCAGTGACTGTGGGTAGTCAACAAGGATTCACAAAGAGAAGTCATGCTTAACTGATCTGATAACCTCCTTCCCCTCTTCTGAGGGCTCAGAGTCATTCTGAACCACAGCTTTGAAGACTTCTGCTCCATGTGGTCATTCATCTCTCCATGAGAGTGCTGTGTTCTTGAATAGTATTTGGTGCCTAGCAGCTTTGTCAAGACATACATCTGACTTCTGTATAGTGCTTGTCCTTGTCTGTCAGGGTGTTTCTCTGAGTTGTGAGGTAAGAGCTGGGAGCAGCATTCCCAGTGTACCCTGTCGTGTCAATGTGACTGGGTGCTGTGCAGAATCACCGTGGGAGTGCAGAATCACCCTGGGATTCAAGGCAGCAGCAGCAGCAAATAATCACCAATAGTCAATGTCTTTGAAGGTCAGACTCAAGAGCTGCATGAATTGCTTTCCTTTGTTGCTGATCTGACTCCTGTGGCTGACTCAGCCATCAGAAATAAACTAGCAATTTGTACCACAAGGTTATTGTAGCTGTACAGGATATGCTTTGGAAACTGTTTCCTGCTGAACAGCCTGGCCTGCAGTTCTGAGGGCAGTAGGGCCTACTCTTGTGCAGAAAACAAGCAGAAGGAAGTGATTTTTTTTTTTTTCCACATCTTTTTCTGCACTGGTGTATGCAGGCTAACAGGACTCTTACAGACTATTTAGAGGGGTTTGCTGCAGAATTTGGGCAGCATCAAACTTGACTGGTGAATGCTCACTTTTTCCCTCAAAATGAGCCTTCCCAACTTAAGCAAAGCCTTCATTACGTTTCTAGTCCTCATGTATATCTGGAACTGTTGATTTTGAAGCAGCCCAAGTGCACATGAAAGTGATTAATTCTCTAAATAACTTTGTTACTACAATAAAGTTTGTTGTCTAAACCAGTATATTCAGCTGATAGTTTTGCAGGTGTCAGAATATGAATTTTAAGTTGTCCTCTGTTCCAGGTGATTACGCTGGTTTCCCTGGCTGCGGCTTGCTCAGGCTGCACAGCACCTATCGCCATGATCTCAAGATCTACGCCTCAGACGAGGGGCGAGTTCAGATGACAGCAGCAGCTTTTGCAAAGGTCCTTCCTCTCTTTTGGGCATCCGTTTGTTCTACCATGTTAGTCTTAAAATATGCTATTTCTAAAGGAAAACCTCTAGTAATGAGGAAGGAGCTGTCCTAGAATCTTCCCCCTCTCTGTTGGATGGACTGGGGTACACTGAGCTAATAGCAGGTGTATGGGGCAGGACTGAACATCTGATGCAACTGCACACATCTGTCACCTTTAGTGTCCTGTCCAGGACAGGACTCTGACTGGAGAAGGAGTTATGTGTGAAGTGTTGCTGGTGTTTGGTGTTAGAGCACACCAAACCTGTTGCTGAGTTAATTGCCTATGGAATGAGTGTTCCTGGGATGGCTGCCCAGCCAGAGGGGTTATTCCTTGCCTGATGGATTTAAAAAGGTAGTGAAATATCTGGTGCAGTGTGGAGTGGGGAAGAAGACAGGTTCATCCGCAGCTAAAGCTTGAGCCAAGGGGGATTCTGTGGTGGCCTTAGCTGGTCTTCAGAGCCTTTGCTTTATCAACATTTTCAAGCAAATTGAGTTGGCTGCTCTACATTTGCCCAGACAAATCTGGGGCTGCTGCAGACAGAGCTGTCTATTGCTTTAATAGCTCTAGAAGCGTGCCGGAGTCACCTCTGACAGGAGGGGCTGTTGCTGTAAAACTGCTCTTCAAGGACAGTTGAGATTTCACTCAAGTTGGCTGAATTCTTGCCATGGAACTACCAGAAATGTTTGTTGCTTGGGTTGCACAGAGCTGAAATCTTGTCCTGTGTGGCTTTAGGGTCTGCTAGCCCTGGAAGGAGAGCTGACCCCCATCCTGGTGCAAATGGTGAAAAGTGCCAACATGAACGGTCTGCTGGACAGTGACAGTGATTCCCTTAGCAGCTGTCAGCACAGAGTGAAAGCACGACTGCGTGAAATCATGCAGAAGGATGCTCAGTTCTGTGAAGAGGATTACGAAAAGGTAAAACACCTGTGTGACTTCATTGCTCCCTGTACCTGGAAGGAGAATAGGATTGCTGTAGTGGCTTGATTTTAAGTCTGTGGTATGTGAACAGAATTTAGTTAGTTTGAGATCAGTTCTGGCTAAAATTACAGGATATACACAGAAGTGTGCAGGTTAATAGCCCCTGCCCTTCTTTGAGTGACAGTCCTCAGTGTTGCTCTGCTGACCCCTTCAAGATTCATCATGGTGCCTTCCTATCTCTTTAGGAGTCCCAGTGCATTTTGTTCTTGTGAGTGTGCTAAAAGAGCTCTTGTGGTTTCCCACATGCTGTCCAGAGCAATCCCAACTGCTGTGGGCAGGGAGTCTGCCTTGTTGAATTCTAGATCCATGCTCTGTGCACGTGTGGACAGACCTTTTTGTTACAAATCCTTGTGTGTCCTCTCAGAGTCTGGTAGCTGCAGAGTACAGAGCTTGGGCTGCATCCAGCACTATAGCTGTGAAAGCCCTATAGCTGCTTCTCCAGCAAGCCCTGAAAATACTGTTTTTCCCCATACTCTGAGATGTGACTACTGGACCAAAATCCATTAAGGAACATATTTATCACCTCAAAGAACTACTTAAAAAGTCTATGAAGCCCTTCTGCTCAAGCATAGAAGCAAAGTGAGTCAAGAGAGGATGCTGCAGGTGGAGGGAGGTCCCATCTAATGGGAGCAGTTGTTTGTTCCCTCTGAATTTGATCCTGAGGAAGTTTTTAAAACATACCTGACTACACCTAGGAATAGTCCAACTTACTGTGCTCAGCTGGGAACACAGCTTTTTTCTCGAGTCAAAAAACAGTACAACTGCAAAAGGCAGCTATTTTGTGATCCCAGTTTGTAAAGACACTAACTAATCTCTGCTGGACTCTTCTTTCAGCTAGCACCAACAGGCAGTGCTTCTCTGCTCAACTCTATGACCTTTATCCAGAACCCGGTTGAAGTCTGTAACCAGGTGTTCACCCTGATTGAGAATCTCACCTCCCAGATACGAAAACGTCTGGAAGACCCAAAATCCGCAGGTGACCATCAGAACTGGAAAGGGTCTGGAACAAATTAATTTATTGTTACATCTTCAGAGCTCCCAAACACCACTAGGGCTTATGTTCGTCTATAGTAAAGAAATTCTAAAGTGAAATTCTCCATGTGCCATTGACGTAGAAGGCTCCTGTTCCACTTTTTGACTACTGTTAAAGGGGACTATAATGTAAAGGAAATTATATGTGCATCCTGGTTTAGCACGAATGTAAACAGCAACAGTATAGCGAGCAGAGATATGCCTAGTTTTTTCAGGCATTTTCTGGAGACTGTAAACAGCAGGTTTTTCAGTCACAATTTGTTAATCTCTAAGAACTTTCCAAACAACAGTGCAAGAGCTTTAAAAAGACGTTTTGGGGACATTCCACAGGATTTATGGCAGACAAGCAGGCAAATGGTTTCACTTTTTCAAGCAGTTCAAAAGCAGCTTGTTGCTGCAGGTTAAAACTTTGTGCAACAGGTCCAGTGGCTTTTCCAGACTAGGATTCCTGTGGGTGACACGATAATCAGAGCCATTCTGTGCGGGGAGAAGTCCATCATAGTTGTCACTTGAAATCTCTGCAGCAATAGTCATTGTTCTGTGATTCTGTGGTTCTCGGATGTGAATTTGTTTCAGGTTTGGTGTTCTCTGCTGTTTAGACCTGCAACTGTATCACAGTGAGACTTTGGAACTGATGCTGCAGCGCTGGACTAAGCTGGAGCGAGATTTCCGCATGAAGAACGGGCGCTATGACATCAGCAAGATCCCTGATATCTATGACTGCATCAAGTATGATGTACAGCACAACTGTGCACTCAGACTGGAAGGCACAGCTGAACTCTTCAAGCTCTCCAAAGCCCTGGCAGATGTGATCATACCCCAGGTAGAGCCCCTGTGACAGTGCCTGTGGCACCAATTTCTGACCCTTTCCCTCTATGTTTTGTCTCAACTCCCTTACACATTAACCCCCAAGGCAGTATATTGCAGTGGGTGTTTCTCAGATCTGTCTTAGTGTTTGTGTACGGCCAAAACCATTTATGACTTAAAATGTGGCAGGGCTGGGCTCGTGGTTGAGGATTCTGGCAGGGTCAGAGTAATGAGCAGCTGATGCAGTAGCTTTTCCATGTTCGTTGTAGCGTGTCACAGCACAGCTCTGAGCTGCGTGTGCTCTGCTGCGACATCCCACCCTCCACATGCAAGGTCGTAAAAGTGAAGAGAGATTTCTATGTTAAAGTTCTGGCAAGTTTGTTATTCCTGTCAAACTAGGACTTGTGCAGTTTGCAAAGTTGACTTGCTTCTTGCAAAGTTTTGTTTATGTGGGATGAGCTTCTACCAGCAAGGTCCAGCTGCACTTGTGCCCCTGTAGAGCAGAAGTGGTCTCCTAAACTTTTTCAGTGTTGCTGGTGAGATGCAGTTTTCAGCATAGCACTGCAGGTTTCGTCTTTGCCAATAGCAGTTGTTGCCTTAATGCTCATGCTAGGTCAGGGTATAAGTTTGCATGTCATAGATTGGAGGTTCATTCATTCATTCATTGCACCTCTCAGCTGTTGGGAGAATACAGACAGTCATGTCCAGACATGGCTGGGGTCCTTGGAACCCTCAGGAATATGTGAAGAAAAAAAAAAAAAAGCCAGAGATGCTGAGTGACATCTCTCTTTCTGTCCTTGCTGAGTCAGCAGTGCTGCAAACAGGACTGTTGAAGTCAAGCTGCCTTTCATGTGAGAATGTGGCGAAGAACCAGGGCTCAGGGTGTCTGTTGTTTTGTTCCTGCAGGAATATGGGATTAATAAGGAGGAGAAGCTGGAGATTGCTATTGGCTTTTGTCTTCCTCTCATTAAAAAGATCCAGTTGGACCTACAGAGAACCCATGAAGATGAGTCTGTCAACAAACTACATCCTTTGTAAGGCTTGTGCTGCATGCTGCTGGTGGTGGGGAGGGCAGCTATGGAGCAGTGGGTGGTTCCTATGCCATAACAGTGTACAGGTGTGGAAGGAGGTACTGAGCATACACTGAAGGACCTTCCAAGAAGAAGGCATGTCGATGCTCCTAGAACTAGAAGAGAAATGGAAAAGGCACACTGAGGTTGCCAACCAGAAGCACACTGCCACAGAACCTTCTACCCATTGTAACCGGATGGTGATGCCTCATCCCTTTCCCTACATGGGGCAAGTGTAACGTGATGAGCCACTGCCCTACTGTGTGTCTCAGTTAGGATTCCATGAAACTTTCTGCTCTTGTGGCCCATGCTCCTACTATTTGTTCTGTCCTGCTGCCTTTGAGATTTCGCAGTGTGGGGTTATCTCATTCCATTAAGCATACAGAAGTGTGACTGCCTGATAGATGGCAATTTGTTGGCAGACTGAATAACTCTGGGCTGATTTTGGTTTAGGTACTCCAGAGGAGTCCTGTCACCAGGACGCCACGTTCGGACACGGCTGTACTTCACTAGTGAGAGCCACGTGCACTCCCTGCTCAGTATCTTCCGCTATGGGGGGCTCCTGGATGTAAGTGTCCCAGCAATGCTCACAGAGTAAGCCTCCCTGCTCTTCTTTCCAGTAACCTTTTCCAAGGTGGACAGTGTATGTTTGTAGGTTGCCCCTTGAGCCAGCTCTCCCAGAAATGCTGTGCATCAGTGGCCTCTGGCCAGCTCCATCTCTGTCATGTTTGTCTGCTGCAGCTTCCTGTGCCTTTCCGGCACAAAGGAGCATTGTTCTTCCTCAGTGCCTGTCTTGCTTGCACAGGAGACATGTTTTCTCCAAAAGTTGTCCTGCTGGTTTCAGGTGAACAGACCATTTACCTGTGTAGGAGGATAGCAGTATGAGGCAGTGGAGATGAGGGAAATTCTATCTTCCTGCTTCCTTCAGCCCTTTGTTTCAAGAACTTGGCCCTATTATTTATTGTCTTTATCTCAGTTCTAAGTCAATAAAATCACTTTGCTTACAGAGGAAGTAACTTGAGGTTGCAAATGCACAGACCATGCTCTCTATCAGAGAGGCGAATGACACATGCTCAGTTCCGCGCACACTGTGTCTCACCTAAAAAATCCAATGCGCAGGCTGGAAGGTGTAAAGACCTTCCCTGGATCTTCGCTCGCGAAGACTGGCCATTAAAAAATAAAGGGGACTAATTCATCCAACCCACCCTTCACTTTCTCTCATAACCTGCTTCCTGAAGGAATTGGCATGCAGACCCTGAGAAAAGCTCTGTTCCAGTCTCCTCGAGAGGCTCTCTGATTTACCTTTCTATTTTTAAGTACGGGCTGAAATACCTTGTTAGTTTGGGCTTGGTTAGCGGGCATGATTTCTGATGTCTGTGGCAACTCAACCTATCTGTAGACAGTGATCAGACAAGTACCTCTGAATCACTCACTGAATAAGATGCCTCTTTATTCCCTGACTCAAGTGTCTGAGAATGCCGTGTTGCCAGTGCAGGCATATTGGGCTGCATCTGTTTTTGTTTGTACCACAGGGGTTCAGTTCATGTCCTTTAAGATGGTGAGATGCTCTGCAGCATCATGAGTGGCACTTCAGGTGTGGCTATTCTCTGGCAGTGTGGGGAGGCAGTGAGGGGTGGGCTGCCCTGCTCTGCAGAGCCCACGTGTGTCTCTAGATTTCTCATTCAGCATGAGGTAAAAGCATTTCACTTTGTCCCTTATTTAGCACAAGTTCATCCCTTGTGGTCCATTCTGTTGTTTGAGAATGGCTGTGTTTGGGAACCGCTATGGGCTCTGCTTGTCTCCAAATCAGCAAGGCACAGGGGCTTGCAGCTCAGATCTGCACGTGGGTGGTGTGGGCAGCTGTAGTGTTCCTCTGTGCAGCTTCTCCTCGCTGCAAGCACCCCACCTCATTGCAAGGTCATCCCTTCATGCAAGTTGAGCAAGGTGGTTTTGTCCTGACAATGTTGTTACCTTGTGGAGAGAGGAACTCTCTCAGTCCCATTTCACTGAATGCTGCAAGGTGTCTGCTGTTGCTTACCCCATGCGACTGTTTATGTGTATATATCAGGAAAACAAAGACCAGCAGTGGAAGAGAGCCATGGACTATTTGAGTGCTATCTCAGAGCTGAACTACATGACCCAGATTGTTATCATGCTCTACGAGGACAACAACAAGGTGAGGGATAGAGCTGTAGGATAAAATGCTTCCAGCCATGATGCCAGGCACAGTCCCCAGAGATGAGTTCAGTTGGAAGTCTGTAACCTGAGCTCTCTACACTTGTGAACAAAGACAGATGGATCATTAACGCAACTGCTAGTTTTTGGTTTTAAGTGGGAGGCAGTGACCCAAGTTAACGCTTGTTACATGTAAGCAGAATGTCACTCTGAGCAGTAACACCAAACTTATGTGATCAATACCAGCTATTTTAAAGCATTTCCTAGTGCAAAATTACTTGCTGCTTCTCAATATTAATTGCAAATAAACAGTAGGAAAAAATAAGTAAAAGCAAGTGATATTTGACTGTGTTTTTGACATATTTCTAGAAAATATCCAGAAATTTCACGTGCATAAACTTTTTATTATTTTAAGTGTACTGGTATAGTTAGGGAAGTGTATACTGGTTTCTTCAGGAAATAAAGAGAATCATTTAATAAACATTTAGAATGTGGGAGCTGATGGTGGTAACTGTAAGTAGGTATGGCACCAAACTGCACATCCTAATCCCCAGACCCTGTGACTCAGCTCTGTGCTGCAGGAGGTTGTAGTGGTGAGGGGAGAAGCCCCTTCCTCACACCATATACAGTTAGAGCCTTGTATTCACAGAGCTAGTGTGGGCTTCTAATGGTAGAAGTTCTACTTGTCAGAAAAAAAGTCTGACGAGCTCTCAGGAGTGGTGTGGATCTGTCAATCAGTCAGGATGGTGAAACTTTTGGTTTTATGTAATTAGTGCCAGATACTGTAAAAACTCTAGCTTCCTTAAAAAAAGCTTAATGAAAAAATAATATTAGACAGTTACTTCAGTCTTGGAACAGCCTGACTGAAGGTCTAGGAGAGACCCAGTTTCCTCCTGTCCCACCACTGTGCTGGGTTTACAGCAGGAGTGGGTTGTGAGGGGCTGGGGTTTAGGGCCATGTATATATATACACATAGAGCTCAATTCTGTTTTACTCCTCTGTGGCTGTTGTTCCAAAATGACAGCAGCCTGAATGCCTCAGCTGTGCGCTGATCAGGGCTGTCCTTTTGGATGAGACAAATCTGGAGCCATTCTTTTTTTGGTTTCTCGTTGCTTCTGCTTTCCCTCCAAAGGATGTGCCTGGGAAACGTGCTGGCTGGCATGGCAGGGTGGGACCTTGGCCTGTGCTGATGGTAGGATAAACTGGGTTTGGTTATTTACCTATTCCCTGTGCTGTGTGTTCACAGGACCCCTCTTCAGAGGAGCGTTTCCATGTGGAGCTGCATTTCAGCCCTGGTGTCAAAGGCTGCGAGGAGGACAGGAACGTGCCCACAGGATTTGGCTTTCGGCCGGCCTCGGCAGAGGTGAGCAGACACCTGGGTGGGGGCCACCGGCCCCAGGAGACCCTTGGGTGCTGTCCTGCTCTACCCGACCCTACTGCAGCGCGTTCTTTGCTGGCTGCTCTCCCCTGCCCACAGGCAGCTGGTGGGTCATGTCCCTGCCCCGTCCTGGTTCATCAGGGGCTGCTGGGCCCACGAGTGCCTCCAGAGCTCAGCAGAGATCTGAAACTGATGCAGGGCAGCTCTGGCAAAGGCCACGTGCCTGTAGGCATCAGTGTCTCCTTATGGCAGAACGAGGACAAGAAGGCCGACCAAGGCAGCCTGGAGGACCTCTCCAAGGAGAAGGGCAGCGATGAGCCAGACCATGCTCAGCAGAAATCCCCACAGCCCTCTGAGCCGGTCAGCATCCAGCGAAGGTCGCCACTGATCAGGAACCGGAAGACAGGGTCCATGGAGGTAATCATGTCACGGGCACCCTTCCTTGTTCTAACAAAGGCCTTTTGCTTGGTTTTGGTTTCCTGGTATTCCTTTTGACATGTCAGAGTCTGAGATGATGCTGGGGAAGGATCTGCAGAAGGTAAAGAAGGATGTTGCGGAAAGCAGACCTCTATCCTCCCCATTGAGGAAGGAGAGGGGGAGCACAGGCTAGAGGAACTGATGAGGAAGAGGAAGTAAGGAAATGCTTGGGAAACACAAGAATTTTTTGGATTACATGCTCTGTAGAGGCACTGATGTAGCCAGCTATGAGATTACATGCAACCTCATAACCTAGCTATGGTGACATCTCTGCCTTCCCTTAGGCTCCGTCCTTTGCCTCTCACAAAGTCAGTTCCATGTTTCTCGTTCTTCTCTCCCATCTAAGATCTCATGCTGATCAGGGGTCCCTGCTTAATGATGGGTTCATCCAGGGTGTCAAAACTGTCAGGGTTTACAAATGTCCCATTTGCTGATCTACTGGAGTAACAAAATTGATTTTACTGTTCTAGCCTCTCCCCTTCCTGGGTGTTCCATGTCACAAGGCCAGTGTCACAGTCAGCATGTGACTGTCACCTTTAGAGTGCTCTGGAATTGTCCCTCCTTTTGGAGGGATTTCACAGGCATTTTTGCCATCAGTTTTCTGAACCAGTGAAAGCAGAGTTAAGGTTTGAGATATTTGTTAGCTCACTTCCAGTGATGAGTGTTATCACCTCTGTGCACAGCATTCAGAGGCTTTTTGTAACCGGCTATGTTTAACATACTAAGTTGAACAGGATATGATTTCCTGCTGCTAAAGAGAAAGTCTGTGTCTCAGTGATCCCAGCAAGAGTCTTGGGAGACAAGGAGCTCACTGCATGAGTCCCTTTGTGCTTTTCAAATCTCCACTGTTCCACAAGCCAACACAAACTGGAAATTAAAATTGAGCATTCACTGTCACAATCTTAGCATATGAGTACGTTTGTGCTTCTTGAAAATGGTGTTTCTATGGAAGAGACATACCTTTCTTTACCTTCAATTGAAGTATAAAGGCTTTTGAGAGCAGTGGGTAAGTTGGAGCACAACACTGATTACATTGTCTATCTTTGCAGGTGCTATCTGAATCTTCTTCCAAATCAGGAGGTTATCGCCTCTTCAGCACATATTCCAGGCAGTCTTCTGAGATGAAGCAAAGTGGCTTAGGTACTGTACTTGACCTGTAACCAGCCTGCTCACCTGTACCTCTGTATTTCCGTGGGCATCAGCCTGTCTCTCCACATACACGTCTGGCTTGAGTTCCTTGTATGTCTCCGTGTGTTTTATGTCTTCTCTCAGTGTTACTGTTGAGACCATTGTAGAGACTGTCTTAGTGTTATTTCTTTTTGTATATGATTTCTCCTTCAGCTGGTAGGAACAAAAGACGCACTTTTCATCCTTTATAGTATGGGAGGAACAGGGCAAACTGCCTATCTGCAGGCTGGCCTTCTGCTTCTCTGATGTTCTCATTTGTTACACCATTTCTGAACTTATTAGGAAGAAATGATTTTAGGTGAGAACGAGCATGCTTTCTGTTCTGCTAAACAGCAGTTTATGTGCAAAACTGCTCTTCAGGTGGGACTGTTCTATTTCTGCCTTTGCTTCATAAAGATCCACTGTATGGAACAGATGTGTCAAATGCAAGGTGTTTGGCAACCCTCTAATTGAGCTGGAGTCCCTGGTCACCCATTCTTCTCATGGTAGCCAGTGGAAGAGAATATTTTGGGGCACTTGGTATTCTGTGCCGGTCCTTGCTAGTTCCATTCCCTGTCATCCTAACCTGAACTATTTCTGAATAGTTGAAATTCTTCCTGAAATATTTTTGCTAAAGCAAGGTCTATTTGGAAACTCAAAAGCTTTTTTGCTGTCATGAGGTTCAGAGGTGGCTGTGCAGCCTGAGTCTTGCAGATAGGAGGTGATAATGCCCAAGTCATGCCCACTTTCTTTTTCTCTAAAACCATCTTAGCATTGTGGCATGGCTGCAGACTTGCAGCAGTTCTGAGTCATCAGTTCTTTACTCTGTTGTATGGACAACCTGCAGCCAAGATCATTTTTTTGTCACTTTTGAACAAGCTGCTTCTTTGGAAGCTAATTCTTAACAAGGAAAGCAAATTTTCTTCTAAGTGGTTAGGAAGTATGCCTGGAGTGTGACCGCTATGCTCCCAGCAAGCTGGAAAAATCTAAATAGGAATGACCAATGCATATTATTTTCATAAAGGCACAATAACTTTGGCGATGGTGGGTTTTGAATGTGTTATTTCACTTATTTCTGCCTTTCCCAGCCCCACTGTGGGATTCAGTGAGCTGTGACAGACTGCCTTGCTTAGATTTGAAGAAACCTGTGGGTATTCTGTGAGTCCATATGAATCAATATGGGAATTTCTGAGATGGCACACAGTCAAGGAGGTGCATCTGTTTGGAGAACAACCAAGTACATCAAACTGTTTTTACTGTTTGGATGTGTGAGTACCGGAAGGCCTGTGCTCTGGAAAGCAGATATTACAGCCCTTGGACTACAGCTTTTTCCATGTTTCAGAGGAATCTGTTTTGACAAGAGAGAAGACAACAAAATTTGAAATGTGAACCCAGCAGGTTTAATTTCAGGTTCTAGCCTGACATGCCTTGCTGGGAAGCCTGTGCTGGTCAGTCTTCTGACTGAAACTCTGCAGAGAGAAAACCTTGAGTAGGAATTGATAGACCTGATCTGTGACACAGACCTCCAACTGGATACTCAGCCCAGCCATCATTCTCCTCTGTAGAACCTCCTAGCAGCAGGCACAGAAGGATTGAGCAGGAGAGACCTGTGGTGCCACACCAGCTTGCACAACCCTTGGTGATGAGGATGTCTGTGTTTCTGTGAGTTTCTCTTAACCTGAGGCCTGTTACGAAGAACGATGCCTCTTTACCTGCACAAGTCAAGCTCTTCAAGGAATCTTCCTGATTCCTTTCCTGCTTGTTTTTTAGAAATCTAATTTCTTCTCCCTGTAGGACTTCAAATGTATTCTCTCTGTGAGAGAGAATACAGAACTCACTGGAGCTTGAACTTTTACTTTAATACTTGTCTCAACAGCTGTGCTGTGAGGGGCCTCGTTCAGGCACTACCTGCTGTTTTCTGAGTTTTCTGAAGTTGAATATACCTCCTGTTGAACGTTGCCTGACCTTGTCAGTGCCTGCCTGTCGTTATCTCTGGAAAATGGAGTGTCTGTCCAGGTATAATCTTGTATGTGTAGGCATGTAGGAACAGGGAGGAGGACAGAGCTCCTGCAATAGCCCTGCTGCCATACCTGCCAGAAATGGTGCCTCTACTGTCATTTAAAAAATTCCCTTGAAATCTCTGGAAAAGGGGTGGCTGCAGCTTGCTTTGTCTGTGCTTTGGAGTGTGCCACTTTCTCTGGGCAGCATCAAGTGCATTGTTGTGGATTGTTTGCCATAGTGTGTATGCTTCAAGCTTGAGAAGCCCAGGGAAGTTTCGGGGCCTTTCTTTGCTTGCAAGAACGCTTCAAAATGGGATAAAATCACTCCTGGCTGAGCACTGCCAGTGGCATGAAGCTTTATGCTGAGACTCCCAGAAGAAAATCAAAATCAAGGATGTCTGTTTTGAAACATCTGAAACATCAAATGAAGATGTAGAAATTAAAGATCCAGCACATACAGTAATTTCTAGCAAGTGCTGATATATTTAAATCCAAATGACCTTTATGTTCTTTAGGGTGTGGGACTCTGTGTGTGTGTGGTTAGTTACTTTGGGTACAGTGGTCTCCTGGAGTTCACTGTAGATGATTGCTGTTGTCCATACAGTCATCTTTGAAGACTCTCTTCTGGCTTAAGGGCACTAGCAAAATGCCTCTGTCTGCAGCAGAGCAGCAGAAACACTGGGGTATCCTCAGCTTAATGATTAGTGGCACAAGGTTGCTCAAGATAGAAAGTCCTAGAAATCTGATGTTCCGTTTTTATCTTCCAGTAAATGAGTCATGAGTGAGTTTTGTTGCTGTTGTTTGTTTTTAAGCCTGGAAGAGCAATTGGGAGCATCATCCTGCCTTCTGCATGACAAAACTTCGTTTGCATTCTGACAGATTCCAGTTCATGCTGAGTCAACATTCAGCATCAATTTAAGACATAAGAAGGAAATTTTCTAAGGCTTATGTACCCATGACCCTGCAGGCAAGAGTTCTTTGTCTGTGCTAGTCTGTGCTGTGGAAAGCCACCAGCAGTGTCACCATGTGGGAGCAGCTGTAGTTCAGTGCTGTGAGAATGCTTTCGGTCACCCTGGGAGCAGATGGTCAGCTCAGGCTGAGCTTAGGTGTGAACAGCTCACTGCTCAGGATCTCTGTGTTTTCTCCAAAGAACTCTGGCTAAAGGATCTTTGCAGAGACAGAGCTGGGGGCCCAAAAAGCAGTGAGTGGATGTGAGTCAACAGCATGTCCTCACACCAGGGAAGGCTGATAGCATGCTTGGCTTCATCAGCTGGAGTACAGCCATCAAGCTGAGGGGTTTGGCTCTTTTCTACTATTCACCTCTTGTGAGAGAGGTGTGCCTGAAGTTCTTCTGTCCTGCCCTGGGCTCCCTGGGGCATGGAGGGTGTGAGTGTCAGGGTTGTGAGCCCACTAAGGGGCAGTGGAGGTAGATGGGGCTGGAGCACACAACATTGGAGGAGAGGCTGGGAGCAGGGCTTGTTCAGAGCAGAACCTGTGGGGAGTGGAGACCTTAATGCTGTTCCACCACCTAAATTGCACGTTGCAGAGGGGAGGGACACAGACTATCCCCAAAGCCCATGCTGGTCAGTTGAGAACCAACAGATGCAAGTTGCAGCAGGAGAAATTCCAGTTAGCTAGGAGGAACAAATTTTTCACCCACCATGAATGTGCCAGATACTGGCGCAGGGGCTGAGAGAGGTGGTGAAATCTCCTTTCTTGGGAATATCGAAACTTGACTGGACAAACACTAGCAAGATTATCCTGAATTAGTCCTGCTGGGGCATTGGGAAGGAAGCTTCAGGCTCCTTCCAACCAAAATATGATGCAGTATTTTAGAATCAAGAACTGCTTCCAATGTAGGCAGGATCTCTTTCACAGTAGTAATAGTTGCACTGTTCCAATAAATACTAATAAGCAGTGTGGCAGGTTTTTTTACCTTGGCAGACAAGGTGGAACCAGATCAACCTGTCTTTTTCTGGAAGCATTTTATATGTAGTGGGTAATGTTGGTTTTAGCAGCTGGTATTCTGAGTAGAGAATGCAAGACCGTTTAGCGAAGAATTTGCAGCCAATCAGTGGCTGTATCTGGCCCATAATAGGGTTTTGTCTCACAATTGTTTTCCTCAGTCAGTTGAAAGAATCCTGTTTCAAATGCCTGCTGTTCCTTAAATATCACACAAAGTCAAGTCAGTCTGCAAAACACTGTGCTTTGGCAAAACCAAAACCACAGGACTTAGGTTGCCCTCCATCTTGCACCTCATGTTCCTTGACACAGGGTGGGTAGAATTCCGCGGTGCATGCATATCTGGTGCTTTGCAAGGCTTGTTCATGGACCAGGTGGACCTATGCTGAAGCAGTGAGACATGACTGAGCAGCTGTGAAGTATCAGCTTGTGAAAGCAAGCTCTCTATTCGTGGTTTTTTCCTTGCTTGTTCACATTGGCTGATCCACAAATCAGACAGTCCTTTTCTCTCCTTGGTGTCCTACAGGAAATGCAGCTTTCCAAAGAGAAAGAGCAGAAGAGCAGAGCAATAAAGCCCTATGACAGGAACATCAGCAGTTTGGCATCCTGACTGCTCTGACATCAGTGTGTAGCTTTGCTGACTGAAGGGAGTAAAGGTGTTTCTCCTAGGTCAAGGCAAGAAAGCCAAACAGAATTAAACTCCTGGATGGAGTTAGGAACTTTCCTGGTGCTGAGCTTTGGGCTACCATTTGGCACTATGGAATTTAGAACTTTGGAGAACTTTGCCGCCCTGTGCTTCCCAGCATCATGTTTTTTTCCTGAGATTGCTTAGAAAGCGACCAGTTCATTCTTCATCCTTGGACTAACCCTGCTTTTCTGTAGTTGCATGCAGTGGATATGTGATACTAACACCTTCCCTGCCTTTCCAGGATCACAGTGCACCGGGCTGTTTAGCACCAATGTGCTGGGAGGCTCCTCCAGTGCCCCCAACCTCCAGGACTACGCACGCAGCCATGGCAAAAAATTTGCCAGCAGCCTGACATACAAAGACGGTATGTGTGTTCCCTGGCAGCAGGGTGGTACTTTGTGGACGTTGGTATCCTGTGGCACAGACTTGGACTGCTGAAAATAGTGACAGCTGAATGTGTATTTTCACTGCACCTACAGTAAGGAATTTACGATATCCCAAGAAATTGTGGTGCATGGTAGGACAGACACTGTGAGAGGAGTTTTAGGCTGATGGGTGTTTTTGCTGGGGTCTGACTTTGGTCTGACATTTTAATACTACTCGCTGTTATGAATGGGGATTTATTGGTCCAAATGTTGAGTAGGTTTGTCCTGGTATGGAAATCCAGGAGATCACATCAGCTTGCTTACCTTGGTGATCTTGCTGATGCTAAATGAAGCTCTTTTTGGAGCAGTAATCCTTGCCCTATAGAAGATGGAACTGTCTCAAAGGCAGAATGATATACTTGGGCATGGATAAGAAGGACACTAGAGTGAGGCTGGGCACGCAGCAGAGACTGAGGTAGCTGTCAGGAAGCAAGGGCAATATATCTGAAAGGCTTGAGGTAAGTGGGCTGCTTGTGTGAAATACTGCAGAAGGACTGGAAAGTCTAGTTTCTGTGCAGTTGTGCAGAAACTGCCAGGAAGGTCAGCAAGACAATCTGGTGAAGGCACTTGGGCCGTGGGTGTGAGCGTTGCCCGATGCCCATGGATGCAGGTGCTGCAACTATGCCCTATCCTGCCAGCACTGGTGCCATGCACAGAGAGCAGCAGAGGGTTGTTACTTGCAAGGAAATTGGGGCACAGGGAGAGACTGAGCTGTCCTGGAGCAGTTGGAAGGTGTAATGCACAACTGCAGGTGTCCATTATGGTCCCAATAGGAAAGGCACTCAGACTGTAATTACTGATTCACATACCATTTTTTGGGACACTGAGCTGAGGAGCTCTGTGGACAGGGTCTGCACAGCATGCTGTGACCACGTTGGAAATCCACCTGATGTTGTACCACTGATCTGAATGGATGTAAAAGCATGTGTCTTGGATATCTCATCTTTTTTCTTTTGGTGTTTTAATCAATACAGAACGTGAGTGCCTTTCTAATTAGGATCATAATGGACACTAACACTGGTGGATTACAAGGTGGGGAGAGGAGTAGGGCAGTAATTTGGGGAAAACAGAAGGTTGGTTCATTTGAATTTTTGTCCAGTTTTGAGGCAAGGAAAATGGCCTAGCAAATCATGGTGGAAAGATGTTGTCCAATTCTCGGCCCTATTGGAACCCCCTGAGTGCTGTTATGTACACTGGCTTCCTGTGCTGCCTTACTTGTGTAAGAGAAAACTGAGCTGGTTCTCGCCTCCTCAGGGCACTCCCTGGCATACAGTGGGCTGTGAGTGACAGTGACAGGGAGGGTGATGTGGGAGCAATCTTAGCATCACTGTACCAGTCTGAGCTGCCCAGGCATCAAGTGCTGGCTACTCACATGTCACAGAATAAGCTCATGGTGTTTAGCATAAGACCGGGGTGTGAGTCATAGGGGAGCTGCTAGAAAGGCCAGCAAAGGACGTGGCTGCTGTACTTTCCTAACTCTGCAAGGAGTGGGAGCCCAAGACAGCACTGATTCTCAGGGAAAAGCATCAGAGACTGCTCTTTGCCCAGCTGGACATGGAACAGACCTGCTCAGTCCTAGTGCTGGGCTGCCTGTGTCTGTAGGCTGTGTAACAGAATGTTCCTACAGCTGGCTATGGGCATTTCACGGTTGAGTGTAGTCCTGCTGCATTAGCCTAAACTGAGTGACAAGGTCATTGTGTGCTGAGATGTAGCTGTACCCTCAAGTACCTAAAAGACAGACTTGGTTAACTGCCATGTGACTAACACAGCCCATAATTATTGGCTTGATGTTACACCTCTGTTTTCATGTTCCTTGGCATGCCCTGGCACCCTGTGCTACCAGCGCCTTGCTGCAATAAGGGCAACTGATGGGTAGGAGTTGGGAGCTTGGGAAAATAAGTAGGAGGCAGAAGGGCATTTTTTTTTTTTAGCTGCTGGGTAAGGTGGTTTGGAATGTGAAATGAGCCCTTGATTTACATGTTCCTGATTAAATGAGCACCAGTGAAATACTGAACAATGGAATTTAAACCAAACATCACTAGAGCTGGATGCAGTCAGTGACACAGCAGCTACAGCCGATGCTTGGAGGACATTTGTTTCAACGCCTTTTCCTCACTCATCGGGCTGGTAATGTTGAAAAGCTTTTAGATTCTGCAGCACATCTTTGCATAAACTCTTTGATAGTTTTTCATGGCTGCGATGCTTCAAGGTGCAGAGTGTGGCCAATAGCACTTCACCAATGTGAACTTGCCTTGTTCCAGGGAAGTTTCAAGGGCCCTTATTTCTGAAGTCTCTTTTGCTTGGAGCTGGAAGAGGGCTAAGGAGCACTTCAGCAGAAAGTTATCCCAATCTCAAGCTGAGGGAAGGTCCATGGATGGTTGATTTGAAACTGGCTTGCTTGAAGACAGGGACCCAATAAGCTGGGTCAGTGCCATTTCAGTTGCTGTGCCCTGAGGGCAAGAGGAAGTGTTGGGGTGGGATGGAGATGGTCAGCAGCTGACTGCAGCTCTAGGGCTTGGACACCTCTAAGGGATTGTGTGTGTAGGGAAGGTTGTTATGCTGTTTGTTGACTTTAAAGAAAGAAAAACAGTTTTTAGGGCTGTTACGCTGGTGGATGAAATTGCAGCAAGTGTCAGAGTTGGTATAGATACGTAATTGGGCCAAGCCAGTGGATGCAGCTAGAGGAGCGCAGTGGGGTTGCGGAGCATGAATTGGTACATTGGTGAGGGGGATATGCATACAGACCTTATGGACTAGAGAGAATGGATGCATGAAACATGAAGGAGAAATAAAAGGGTTTTCTAATATTTCCTAAAAGTTCATAAAGAGCAGCAAAAGGTATGCTTGGCTGGGGTCTCACATTAATTCCAGATACAGATGGTCTGATCCAGGCCATTCTTTTCCATGATAGCTGAGGAATTTCCAGAGTGGGAATAAAATTAAGTTTCCAACCTTTTTTTTTTTTTTGTGTGTCCTTATGGAGCCTAGTCCATGTCCTTTAAAGCCCATTGTTTGCACTCCGTTAGATGCACAGTATCTGTCCTTGCACTGTCTTTCTCATGTGTGATTTGTATGGGAGTGCTTGGCCTGTCCTGGGACATGGCCAGGAGAAGCCTGAGGACCACTCTGACAGGTGTATCCCAAAGCCTCTCCTGTACTGAAATGCTTTGAGCAAAGAACTGTAGAGGCATGTCTTCATGGATCTTCTGTTTCTTCCCTAGTCAGGTGATTTACCTTTAAACTCATAAATAGCTCTCTGTAACTTGCATTAAGAAGATGTTTTGAGCTGTACCTATGTCAGAACTCTTCAGTCCCTCTGCAGAATGGTGTTTGTTTTCTTTGGACAGAGGTAAATCCTGAGAACGATCCTCCTGTGGTGCTGCTGCTTGCTTGGTCGCGTGCTCTGGTGGCTGCAAGTATGGCCTGGCTGCATCCTGCACTGGACTGAGCCTGGTGTAGTGGGAAGGTGTGAGATGCTGTCTGTCACTGAGAGTGTGGCTGAGGTCTCTGTATTGTCAGGGGAGACCCTGGGCATGGGGAGATGCAGAGTGTGACGAGGCTGAGCAGTTCAGTCAGACCCGCAGGTGGATTGTCTTAGGTGCTACTGCAGTGCCAGTGGGAGCCGCTGTTGTGGAGGTCAGGAAGGCAAACCTGCAAGGATAGTTGCAAGCATATGAGGGTAGGGAGATCGTTCAAAGCAGGCTGTTAACTGAGATGATCTGTTTTTATTTCCTCAGAGCTCTTGTCTATGCCAGCCGTAAAACGATTTTCTGTGTCGTTTGCAAAGCATCCGACTAATGGTACGTTTGCTTCCTTGACTTGACGTTCCTTCACACTTCTAACCCCACGCTCACGTTCAGTTCTCTCTGCACATGTTCTCCTCTCAACCTTCTTGTGGTTTTTTTGTCTGTGTATCTAGTGTCCAAACATGTTTCACCTTCCCCCATTGTCTCATTGTGACTAATGTGTTCACTCATCCTGTTACTGCTCAGTGGTGCCTCTGCTCTCCCCTGAGGGGTCTTTGTGTCCCAGGTGAAAAAGCAAAAACTGTGGCTCTGTGAGTGGACTGCTAAAGCAGCTTTTAACTCCTCTGTTGACATTAAGGCCTTCTGTCATTCTCCCTTTCAGGGGGGTAGGGGCTCAGGGGAGACTGTCGCTGGATTGGGGTGTGATATCCACTTCATATGCCAGAGCATCAGCAGCTTTGGTCCTCCATTTCCGCACTGCAGATTTACAAGATGATAACAAGGATAGCCTTAGCCCAGCTCTGTGTCACCTGGAAGAGCCCACTGTAGGGTGGGAGAGAAGGAGGTGCCAGCAGCATTCCCTCTGCGCATGGTGTTCCATGTCAGGAGTACTGGTGGCCTCATGGCCTCCTATTTGCAAACCTGTCTTTTAGGCTGTTTGTGTGGTTCCTCCAAGTACGGTGATGTTGATACAGGTAGGCTCACCTTTCCTGCAGACCTCAACATGGGAATGGTTTCTCTCCAGAGTTTTGTCTGCTGTTGGTGGACAGCGCTGGCTCGGGCCTGCTGCCCTCCTGAGGTGGGAGGGAATCAGCATCGTGCAGTCACCTGCTTCACCCCATCCTGCCCATAGCTCTGGAAAGGCTTGGTGAAGGACGTCTGCCAGTGCTTCTGCTGACTTACTATCTCTGCTCCATGTTGCTACTAACCTGACACTCAAAAGTGGGAGTCCATGAGGTTACAGACCACTAGCTCTGTGCAGCAGGTGGCTTGAACTAGTGTTTACTCTCCAAATCTTGCACAGATACTTTTAAAAAGGTTTCCCGGTATGGCTCTGCCCCTCATGCCTCCTGCTGTTGAGAGGAGTTGGAACCAAAGCAGATCACTGAAGGATACCGTGTGAAGTATTTTTGCCCTACGTGATCAAGGCAACTTCTGCAGTCTTGTTGTGAATATGAAGACATCTTGCTCAGTATGGTCTGGAAGATGAATGAAATTCAGAAGACTGTTTTGGGAAGGATGAAAGGTGAAAGGGCAGCTCACTGTGGTTCTACTGGTTCAAATAACTGGAGGGAATCTATTCTCCATTTGCTTGGATTTGCTTTTCCCAGAGTGGCCAAAAAACTGCTCTGTTTGTCTGTATGTCTGGACACCATCTGAGCTCCTGTGGTGTATGTCAGCAGGGTGTGTTGTTCTATCTTGCCTGCGAAGCTTGCACCCAGCTCCAGCCTTCCCTAAGTCACACTGCAAAGCAGCTGCCCATGCTCCAAATTTAATAGTGTGAAACTGGGCATCAGGTTTCTTCCAAACACCCCAATGAATATTTCTAATGGAAAAGTGGTCCTTAATCAAGAAAACAAAGACGGGGTCCAGCAAGTACGAGCTTGAAGTCAGGGATATTTGGTCTAGGCTTGGCACTGCTTTGAGCAGAAAGGATGTTTAACCACATGAACCACTTACCTGAGGATGCAAAAACTTCCCAGCTCTGAGTCTGTTTTTTTTTTTTTCTGGAGAGCTGCCTCTGTGTGGTGAAATGGGGCAGGTGAGCCACAGCAGTGGCCAAGCACAGTGTCAGGCCAGGTGGTTTATGCCCTGGTCACATGAATCTTGGGCGTATGATGTGCGTCCTGAGGCTGTGCACGTGGAGAAGACATGCATGCACGCTGGTGTCTTGTCTGCCATGCAGGGATATCACAGAAGATTGCACAGGGCTGTTCTCAGAGTCTAGAGGGAAGGTCAGCGCTTCTGTAGGCCCCTCTGTTCTTCCACACTCTCAGCACTCTGCTCTCAGCCAGACCTTGCTGTCCCCCATGTCCCTTGCACAGTCTCTGCTCATTTGATGCTGGGTCATTTGCTCTCTGTCCCACGTGCTGAGGTGTTTGGCTGCACTTGAATGCAGGACTTGAATGCTCTGTTGGCATTTTGGATTTCTCATCTCAGCTGCGGGAGGGCGAGTGTGGGCCTGAGCCTGATCTTCCTATCTAGCCAAACCTGAACTATATTCGACTTGGAATGTGGCCTAAAATTTATTCACTTGTCAGACTTCCACTTACAAAGATGAAGCCTCGCTGTTCAGGCGTTGTCCTGTGCTGCAGCCAGGCGAAGGCTGAGCCGGGAGGGAGGCTGGCCTGCCCTGCTGTCGCTGGGGAGGACACAGCTCTAAGGGCATTCCTGACCTGCTCACTGCGGGAGGGATTGGGCTTACTGTGTGGTGTGGGTCCTTCTCACCCAGCAGCCCTGGTGCTGACAGATACATCCCCACATCTCCACAGCTTCTCTGTCCCCAGCTGCACCTACCCTTCTCCTCTCACTCTCTATGGCCCCTTTCCTCCAGATGTGTTGGAGCACCAGCATGTTGCCCAGTTGCTGCGCCGTTTTTCCTCTGACTGTGCCACGAGCCGGACCATCTCCCTGGATGCCACCCTAGCCCATCACCTGCAGCAGTGCTCCTACCACCTGCGCCTCTTCAGGAGCTGGCTGATCTCAGGGCAGGATGACTTGGAGTGTCTTTACGGTACTGCACGCTGCAGCTGCCTCCGTCCCGTGCTCTTGTAGCTGAGCAGGGACCACTGTCTGCTTGAGAATGCTTTGCTTCTAAAAAGGAAAGCCTTTCTCTCACTGCATCCCCAAGGTCTCTAGGCTGCTGCTGCAGCAAGCTGTGTGTGCTGTTGTACCAGCAGTTTTGGAGCCTTAGGCAGGAGCCTTTCCACATGGAGCCAGTGCTGTGTCACAGAGAGTCCACACTCCTGTGTAGCTGTAACAGCTCTTTCCATCTTTGGCAATTGTTGCCTCCTTCCTTTAGCTAGGGTAAGCCCTTAAGTTCCCTTCAGGGTAGGTGCTAAGCTCCTACCAACGGGATGCCCAGCTGGCAGGATGCCCCATGCAGGTCTTGGTGGGATACCATGGGGTGTCACCTTAGTAATGGAGGAACTAAAGTGAGTAGTGAGAGTATGGGAAGAAGAGGTTAAGTAGGTGCTGCAGCTGGTGACATGCTGAGTGAAATTGCTGTGGAAATTCTGGGACAGTGAGTGCTTGTGGGTGTGTTGTTTCTAGAGAAACTGAGACAGGGTAGAGCTCAGCTTCTGTGGCTGCACTGCATGGCATCTGTCCTGCCTGATAGGGCCTCTCAGTGTGTCATGTCTGGTGGGAAGAGGTAGACGACTTGAGCATTGAATCCAGATGTTATAAATCAAAACTTGCTGCTGTTTCTCTGATGTTTTTCAACCTCTGACACAGATTGGAAGTCCGGTGCATGGAGGCCTTGGAGCTTCTTCCACCACACAGGTGGAAGGATTGCTGCTCCCTGAGTGGGGCAGTGAGCTGGGATTGGCTGCTGAGATTTAGTTGCACCATAGAAGCTGCTCAGAGCATGCGGCTTGCTGAGCTGTTTGGTGTGATGCATGGACCCCATTTTCCATTCAGACCCACAGGTGGAAGAGGCACAGACAGTACAGCCTTCTGTGTAGTGAAGCAGCAGGACTTTACAGAGCCCAGAAGATTAGAACTTTTCTTACACAGTCTGTTTTGAGACAGCCCTTTCTGTCAAGCAGGCAATTTGGAGACAGCAGTTGCTTTTCATATGTAATTAGGACAATTCTTGGTCTCCTGGCAACAGATGCTAAAGAGGAGCAGTAATTGCTTCAGGGGAAGAGATGCTGAATCACAGGGGACTGCTCCAGAGCCAGGGCTGAGCTTCGCCTGCTGCAGGTCTCTGCCGTGTGCTGTGAGCTCAGGTGGGGAGAGGAAATGAGCTCAGTGCTTTGGGCAGCAACACCCCAAATGCTGCAGCAGGGTGCTGGGAGGTGCAGCCTGGCCTAATGCAGTCAGACCCAGGAGTTACATACTCCTGATGTACCCAGCACAGCAGCCATCCCAGGTGGAAATCAAATCTCTGCCATCAGGGAGTTCATTCTTGCAGTTTTCTCAGTGTTTCATCAAGCCCACAGTTCATTGGCGTGTTTGGAATTCCTGCCGAGGCCCTTCTCTGAGCAGGCATAGCTGACAGCCCAGGTTTCCTCCTTGTGAAAACTGCATTCTCCTGTCCTCTCTCTCTTGGCTTTCCACTGTACTTCTATCCACACAAAGAAAACATGAATTAGATAGAATCGATGAGTCAAAAGTATGCAGTTGGCATCTGTAATTGGAAAGATCAGCTGTGGAGCCCTGAAGTAACGTCTGGGAACCTGTGTGGTCCTAGCTAGGAAAAAGAATAGCGTGAAGTTCGTGTTGGTAAGAATTTATCGTGGTACTGGAACCAAAGGTCAGCTGTGGAGAAACAGAGTGGCTCCGGGATAACGAGCGGGTGGTGTCCAATGTAAATAAATTTCAATGACAAGGACAAACAGCCCCAAACTCCTATATAAAATAGAGGCCTCTGATCTGACCATCACCACTTGGGACAATGTGAAAAAGGTAGAAATTTGCAATCTGGAAAGGATGTTTGTAACAGTAGTCATAGCAGCGTGGTGGAGATCCACAGTTTCATGGAGTTCCAGGAGCAAGGAGGTTTCTAATGAAGTGAGTTGAGACACTTTGGCCAGAAGTGTTTTGTTCCACACTCCTTACCATGGTATCTGGGGCATTGGGAGCTTAACAGGAGTTCAAGGGGAGGCTGGAGAACATGGAAGAGACACATCATGTCCAGAGCAGTTCTGAGCTATGGGTCACTGGTGGTTGGGGCACTGCTTGGGGAAGAGTCGTGTGCTTTATAGACTTGTACTCCTTCATTTGAGCCACTTCTGGCATTGTCGACAGAGGGATGCTGAGCTAGGATAGACCTTCAGGCCAACTAATGGCTTAAATTTATGCTGGCTAGCAAAAATCCTTGTCCATGTACATACCATGTGTGCATATATAAACATATATCAACATACATGTGGCATGTTGGAGTTTTCCCAGCAAAATAGAGCTGGAGTGACCATGCGTGTCAGAGAGGAACCTGAGTGCTTTCATCTGTGCTGAGACTGGACAAGTTCTTCTTCACAAGAGCTGGCATGCAGAGCTTTGGAGTACAGACCTTCTGGGGATGTGCCACACGCCGTTGGTCTGCCTTTTGCTTCCGAGGTCTCCAACAGAAAGGAAAGGGCACCCTCTCCACTCCAGTGTAGAGTTCTCAATTGGAGACCTGAGTAGTTACTACTCAGCAACTTCTGCTAATCAAATTTTAGTAATGTCTAATGACGACTCTTTTGAGGCCATCTGCTGAGAGGTAGCTGTTCACAAGAATTTTGTGTGTTCTACTGCCTGCTGGAGTCTCCTAGAAACCTGGAATTCTCTGATTTAGCTGGATGATATGAGACAGGTGCAGGTCTCTGTTTGCTTTATGTGGTGTAGTGTGCTAGATGATCTCTGCCAAAGGGTCCTTCTACCCAAATCATCTTCTTAATACTCTTATGAAGTGTTAGTATGAGGCAACTCCAAAACACTCTTATTCTAAGGGGAGGGTCATTCCTTCCTTGAACATCTGGAATTCTTCCTAACCCAGGGTTACACCAAGTAGACTCTCTGCTTGTGCAGTAAAGCGGGCACATGCTGAGGACATGAAGCACTGGGGAGAAGAGCTCAGACTGGGACATGGTTAACTCAGCTGTAAAGTGAGTGGGTCTTCAGCTTTGGCATCAGTGTGCCTGGGAGAGTCAAAACAAGCCTTGTGACTCTCTGCCTGGGTCATACCTCTGCTCTCACCTTCAGAGCAGCTCTTCAGGCAGTACTGTTTCCACTGCAGCTGCATCAGGATACTGCTGCACTATGATTCAGAGGGAAGATTCACCCATAGCTGCTCCTTCACGTCACACACTCTCCTTGGACAGCCAAAATAACACAAGGCAGACTTTTCTGCCTTGTGTATCTCAAGGTTATTCCTGTAACCAAATCTTGCTTTCTTTAACTGATGGTTTCTTCCTATTACTGAACAAAGAATTGGGAGACATAGCTATGGTGTACTGTACTCCTTGCCCAGAGACAATGACTGTTGACTTTGGGGTTCATTTTAGCTACTCAGCTCTGCAGACCCCTGGCACATGCCTCTGCCTTTAGGGCAAGCCCAACTCTGGAGGACACGGATTGCCCTCTGTGCCCCTAATGCAGCTGGTGTACTCAAACATGGATGACATGAAAAATGAAACTTGGTACAAAATGGGTGGAATTCTGTCCCATTTCTCATGCTGTTGTCTGCATTGCAGACTCCTGCCCTGCAGGCCCCAGGAAAAGAGTTTGGGCAAGCATCTGCAGTGGCCGTGCAGACAGCACAGGGTGACTGTCAGTCTGGGATGGTTCCTATGGCTTGCTCTCACATTTTGTTTTTGTTGTCCCTTCCCAAAGGTGTTGATTCTTTGCTATCTGTGTGTGGTGCAACAGTGGTCAGAGGCTTCACTGGGGACACGCCAGGGTTGCAGTCCGTAGCAATAGCTGCTGCCTTGGCTGTGCAATGGGGGCGTGAAGCCACTGGTGACCTCTCCCCAGCAGCTCACCAGGTCCAAGGAGGTGTGCAGGGAAGTGCACTGCCATACACAAAGGAGAGGGGCTCTTTGAACACAATAGTCATCCATCTTGAAAAGGGAAACTTTGGCTGTTTTCTCTGCTTGCTCAAGGGTGGCTCAGTGCTACAGTGCTGAGCAAAGCTGTGCAAGAGGCACCTGGCACTTTGGGGGTACAGGTATATCATTTCACATCAGCTGTGTGTCAGTGTCTAATGTTTCCTCTAATGCTGGACCTTTGATTTCCTCATCTTATTAAAGGGGTACCCAAGCACTCAGATCCCCATCTGTGTCCCCAGTGTATCTTGTAAGAATGTTTCTTGGCCCTATGTTATATTCAAACTTCTTCTCTTTTTCTTTCCAGACCCCAACACCTGACTCCTCTCAAACCAGATTCTGTTGTGAAATGAGAGTAGCCTCATACTGGACTGCTCCACAACCATCTCCCATGACTTGTTTTGCCCTCACCGTTTTTCTTTAGCTCTGTCTCCCAGGAGGCCTATGAAAAAATAATGAGCATACATTCTTCCTTACTCAGCACTTCCACTCTTAAGACTTCTCATCAACAAACAGAAGAATGTGATCTTTTTCCCGTGTCTTACAATTCCGCATCCTAGCCAAGGATTTGTTATCCTGCCTGTCTTGAATTATGTTGTTAGGCATAGGTAACCTTGTGGATTCTGGAGGGGTTTTTATCTCCAGCAGTTGCTATGTCAGTGAACGTCTCCACTGGCTCATGCTCCTTGCTTCTTGCAGAACTGGGTTAGATGAGGGGATTGGAACAGCCTGTCCTGGAGGGAACTGGAACAACTGACTGCACTTTGCAAACAGGTGCTCCAGGGCTTCTCCTGAGGTGCTGCCAAGCTGCAGGAGTCAGTTCTAACCTGTCAGTGTGCTGGACAGCATTCGTAACACAGATTGCATCAAGAACTCCTTTACTTTTTGCATTTCAAAATATTTTCCCTTCTTTGTAGAAACAAACCCAGTTCCTTCCCAGGGTCTTTTTGAGCTCCTTGGAGGGAACTGGGGAGTCACAGAATGGGAAGCCCAAACTTGAGGAGATGAGAGGCCTTTAAACTTGAGGCCAGCAGAGCAGGAGGAGGGCTCATTCCATACACCTCTTGGTATATGTTTTTCCCTTGCTTCTCTGACAGTTCAGGGTGGTTTGGTTCCACAAGGCATTTCTGGGAAGCTGGGATGAAGAGGAAGATACTTTGCTGTAACACTCTGCTGGCTTGAGCAGCAAAGGATTTATTGTGAATGGTTGTGTTGCAGCTTAGCTCTGATTAAGTGTTTGTTACACACTGAGGTATCTGCTTGTTCTGGGTTTGCTGGCAGCAAAGTCTGGTTAAGGGGACAAAGAATTCATTGCCCATCCCCTCCTTGGGACACAGCGTGTCAGGGGTGCACAGAGGGCTGCTGTGAGAGGGAGGTGCCACAGCGAACGCTCCCTGCAGTGGGGAGGTGGGGCTGTGCCAGGCAGGGGGCCTCCAGCACTTCGACCCCTTTAATGGAAATTTTGTCAGCATCACTCGGTTTCTATTTGGCTTCCCTAAGCATGGGCACTGTGCCAAACTCTCGTCAAGGCCAGCAGAAGGGTCACAGGCTCTGCAGCAAACGCGGCAGCTGGCAGACACATTTCCTCCTCTCCCCTCCATGTGTGCCCAGGCGCTTGCTTTCAGGTCTATTATTGCATGGGATTGCCTCGTGGTGATTTTCTTGGCCTAGAAGAGGTGACCTGAGGCCTGAGTGTGGCTGTTGTTTGATACCCAGAGTGCCCAGCTCCTTCAGCCATGAAGTGCTCCTGCATGGATTTACCTTGCTGTTTGCTCTACTCATTTTCTGATTGGGTCTCTTCTAGGTTTTGAAGGCTGTTCCATGGTTCCCACCATTTATCCCCTGGAGACCCTGCACAACTCCCTCTCTTTGCGACAGGTCAACGAGTTCCTGACAGCTGTGTGCAGGAGTTGCAGCGAATCGCACGTCCAGTCCACTGCAGGTACTGGTCAGGTGGGCTTGTCTCTGGAGAGGCAAGGAGCACTCCGGGTCTTTTACATTCTGGGGACAGATCAATCTGATAGGACTGGAGATAAGCGCAGTCTCTGGAACCTGTTCCAGAGTGCTCTAGCCCAGGGGTCAGAGCCATCCTAGGCCACTTACTTTGGAGACAAGTAATCAGATGGATCTGGCTGTAGCTGGTGACTACAGCGATGTGGATGCAAACTCCAGCGTGGGAAATCTTAGCCTCATGTTCCCAGGAGCTGATGGGCAAGCATGGCTCTGATTTGGCTAGTCTTGAGCTCTTCCCAGAGTACCTGATCCTGGATGCTGGGTTACAAGCCGTTCCTTTATGTCTGTCTGAATATTACTGATTGTGTATTTTTTTTCTTGAAGCTTTGTTTGATTCAATGATTGGTAGCCAGATACCAGGAGACCCCTTTATGTCCCAGCGAATCCTGTCATCATCCTCTTTGCCATTGCGCCAGCGTTCAGATAAGCCCCCTTGGTGTGAGTGTGCTACCTTCTTGATTGCGGTGAATGTGGTGGGGAGGGAGGGAAGTTTGTGAAGGTCAGGGAACTGATCTGGCTGAAAACAGTTTTTTAATCCTCCTCCTTTATTGGATTAATCTGTATCTGTTCTCTAGTTTTGCTCATTGTGCAATATAAGTCAAGGATAAGCATTAGTAGAGAATCAATGTTTCCTGCTCCAGCATTGACTCCTGCTCAGCATTCAGGAATTGTGTGTCAGGAACCAGGAGGAGTAAGTTGAGACTGAGACTGGTCCATAATAGTGGTCCATAATAGTGAGAAAATGAAAGAGAATGATTTTATTCTCAAAGCCATCACATTTTGCTCTGTGACAACAGAATCCAGTCTTGGTTGTATGCCACTGGATTACAGGATGGAACTGTGCTGTGTGTGATTGAGTTTTCACCAGCTGAGCTACCAGAAACACCCCAAAGACCAGCTGCAAACCCCTGCCAGGTTGCCTGGCATGTCGACAGCCATCACATGTTGGTTGTAGAACTGCGGGACTGTGACAGTTCGCGTGACCAGCTACGTTTAAAATTTTTCTTCCTCTTTGCAGACAGCAGTGGCCCCTCCAGTACTGTCTCCAGTGCAGGCCCGTCCTCCCCAACTTCTGTGGACAACTGTGCTCATTTCAGCTTCACTGAGAAACTTTCCATCAGCCCCCCAAAAAGTGAGGAACAACTGACTAGACAGTCTCCTGAGCAGGAAGAGAGTCAGCCTCCAGGCAGAGGGCTTCACAAGGAGGGGGGGGTGTTTGGGCTGTCAGTGGCAGAGCCAAGAGTTTCAGAGACCCTGACCTGGAATAAAGGCCCAGAGCCAGGCAGGCTGTGCAGGAAGGAATTGGCAGAGGACACTAAACCAGAGGAGAAGAACATGGAAGAGCTGGATGAAGATTCATCTGGGGAAATGTTAGATTCAAGTAACCCAGGAAACCCAAAGTGTGGTGTAGGGTCTGACCTGAGGCTGGCTGGGGAGAGAGTGAAGCCAGGTGAGGGATGTGTTGGGGGAATGACTGGCCTGGATCAGTCTGGGCTGTCCAAAGAGGTCCTGGTGCCCTGTGAAGAGGAGCTGCTGGGAGAGGTGTTGAACCCAGAGCATATGGGCATGGAGCTGCTGGGGGACAGTGCTCTGTCAGACCAGCTTCTCTCTGGTCACCTATGCCAGGTGCAGGCACTGCCTCCTGAGAAAAGCCTGGAGGAACTGCAGCTGCTGTGTCAGGAGGATCAGCAGAATTAGTGGCTTGCTGGACAGCACACTGCAAGCGCTTCTAGCCTGGAGGTAACCCAGCTTCCTGCACAGCACCTCATGCAGTTGGCGGTCCATAGCACCGAAGAAGCTGTGTCCCAAGGCCACAGGACTCTGGAGTGTGAAAGGATCTGCTCTGCTCTGCTCCTCCACAAGCCAGCTCTGCCATTCAGCAAGAATGCTTGCCTTGTTAAATGAGCAGCAAATGCAGTCCTGGTACTGGCATGGCACCTCCATGGAGCAGGGACGTGGTGCTGCACTGGTGTCCCAAAGTCTGTGTGCTTGCTGGGACAGCAGCATTAGAGGACTGGTACAACCAAGGCTTTTGGGGTGGTAAGTCCAAGGGGACAGATACTTCCTCGAGACTTTTTGGCCCATAGCCTTCAGAAAAAGGCATTCTGGGCCCAAATTAATTGGATCTGTCACAACCACCAACCTCTTCTCTGTTTCTTCCTCCTCTCTCAATCCCCACTGCTGGCCACCAAAACCAGGTCCAGAGAGTCAATGACAGGAAGACTAGGAGAAGCAAAAAGCATTCTGAATGTGGAAAGGAGGGTAGTGAGGGCATTGAGTTCAAGACTGCCACTTGCAAGCAAACATCTCTTTGGCATGGCCTTGGATGTTTTCCTGCTGCGCTGAGGCAGGCAGGAGCATGGGGATCCAGCCTGAGAGAGGTATGCAAGGAAGATACACACGGGTTTTTTTTTCTCGTCCCCAAGGGTCAAACAGGGTACAGCTCTGAAGTCTTGGTGACAGAAATTAAAAGAAACTGCTCTTTGGACAATTCAGGACTATTAGAAACCAATAAGGAGAAATCTTTATGATATAAAAAATGAGAGGTATTTAATTCATATTTATGTAAATGCCTTGTGAGCACAAGCCTGAGGGCGAGATTGATACGGGTGTCCCTGCCGCATCCCAAGTGCCGGCCAGGGCTGTGCTTCCCACTCCTCCTATATTTATGGACAAGTCTGCGTGTTTGTCTGTAGCTAGAATATGTGTTTTTGTGAAGCTGTGCCCAAAGATCTCTATGCTGTGTTGTGATGACGTGTTCACAGTAAATCTGTGCTGTGGCTCCAGCATTTCTCTGTCTCATGCTGACTTGGCAGCAGTGTGCGTGTGCCAGAACTTGCAGGTGCAGCCCTGCTTATGGCCACTGTTCTGGGACAACTGTGGCTGAAGTCACACCCAGAGTGAGTGCACAGGCTCAAGGCCAGGTACCTTTTTTTCTACATAGAAGAACCGGTCATACTAGAGAAGAGGTCCTGGCTTTCCAAGTCCCAGGGTGGTTTGTGATAGAATGAAGACACTAGGACAGTGTGTTCGGCCCCTTTCACTTAGTCCTCACCTTCCGGTCATTTCAAGTACATCCTGGGTGCTGTGTCTTCTTCCTCATGCCCAGTAATCCTGAGCTGCCAGTTTGGGTATGTGAGCAAGGTCACGTTTGTTTGCACTGGGAATGTAGCAAGTTGTGCAGCTGGGGGTCCAGAGTGTACTGGGGGCAGCCTGGCCCCTCTCGTGCCAGACTGTGCCAGCCTGAGGAGGTGAAAGGCCTGCCCTGCCCTCTGCTCTCCCTGTGTTACAGTCCTGCACGAACAGAGACCTTGGCCATGGGGCTGCAACCGGCCCGCAGGCTGAGAGACCGCACAAGATGCCCCTTGGGCACTGCCCACAGCCCTTGCCCTGCACTGCATGGCATCTGCTGCCACCAGCAGCAGCCTGGGCAGAGCAGTCACCCTGAGGGATCCAGCAGCACCTGCCGCAGGGCGTCATTACTGAGAGAGGCCTGGAGCAGGGCCCTGTGGGGTGGGGGCCTGGCTCTCAAGCCACACAGCCACATGCTCGTCACTGCACACCTTCGGGAAATGCATTGCGATCACAGCACCTTGGTTACCAGGAGCATGGTTTGTGGTAAGTTTGTGGTTCCTCCTCTGTCAGCACCAGCTTTGGCAGCTACTCTGAGCTCTCCATCAGGCACTGCACAAGCTGTGGTGCACTCCATGGCCATCCTTCTCTCTTGAGGATCGTAGCACAGAACTTGCATTCCTTTTCCCTTGCATTCACCTGTGCTATTGTTTTCCCCTGAGGACAGCCAGGCAGGAGCAGATCTAACTGGGCATCAGCCTCTAGACTGCATCACCACACAGGCAGAGCAGCAGCCATCCCCATTTTCTGCTGAGTAACTGAGAGTTCCCCTTGCATGAAGTCAGGTCAGAGTTCTGCAGAGGTGCAAAAGTCCTGCTTCTGCAATGGGGACCGAGGGTGCGGGATCCCCACTGTGCCTGGCCCCAGCCCTGAGACAGCAGGTGCTCTGCCTGCCACAGGGCCAGAGATCTTTCCAAGGAGTGCTGGCAGCGCTGGGCAGAGCTACCACTCCCAAGGAGTGCAGGGACAGGTACAAGGCCACAATGGAAAGCATGATTCGGGAACTGTGAGGTGTGGCAGGATCCCAGGACAGACAGGCTGTGCCAGGCTCCTTGCTGGATTATCAGGTGCTGCGTTCCCACCACCCAGCCCTCAGCCACCTGTGCAACTGTCCCAGATGTCCCATAGAGGGACCCACCAGTCACCCTGCTGGGGCCAGTGGGGCTGTGTCCCAGACAACCTCTGTGTCTCTTCCCTGAGACACAGGTGGTTTTAGCAGCTGCAGGTAAAGGTGAAAAAGCTGAGGCTTGCCTGAGCTGGGAGACATGGGAGGGTGACACAGTAGCTGTGTCTTGTGCCCCTACCTACAGTGTGGGCTCACTGAAAGAACAGTTTGAAACTGGTGATGTTTTTGTTCGCAATTAATGTGGCTTTATTATTAATGTGTTGGGCTCCTCTCTTGACAGCAGTTAGTTACAGAGTGTTTCACATGGAAAATGGGCAAAAGGACAGAACTTAAGGAACTAAATTTGAATAGAAGTATGATGCTGAAGAAAAGAATCAGGGCTCTGTTCTTAAAACATTTAGCATAGAAGAAGCTAGGAGCACAAGTTGCCATTTCAATACAGTTAAGACATTCACTTTTTTAATTATAGGTTTAAAATAGTATTTTTTACCTATTACATACAGGAAGATTACGCGTTGTTGCCCACATGCAGAAACAAGCAAAAGCAGAGTTTAACTGTTTCTCTCTACAGTGTTGTATTGCCCCTGGCTCCAAGTAGGTCCTGCTGGCTCCTGTGGCCCGAGCAGGCTCAGGCTCTTTACAAATTGGCATCTTCATAAGTTGTTTTCCCCATAGTTTTTTAAGATGGAAAGTGGGGCAGGTGGAAGAAGACAGGGAGCGAGAGAAGCTTAAGGCAGAACAGACTGCCACAAAAAACTGAAACTAAAATGTGGAGCCTTGAGGGCAGGGAATTGAACTGGCGTAGGATAAAGCTGTCAAAGCAGCAGAGCTGCAGAAGGCAGGAAAGGAGCGCGGAGGGCAGTGTTCCTCCTGGAACCCACCGCTGGCCGCACTCCTGCTGGAGGACGCAGGCACCTCACAAAGCCTCACTATTACTGCTGCTTAGAACCGCTTCAAGTTTAAAATTGAGAAAACATTCAGGTGTGGGTCTATCTAAAATTAGTGCATTAGCTTTTACATCTAGTCACATATAGGGATCCTGGGAGCCAGTGAGGGCCACACTTGTGCCTCTGGTGCCTGGCACTCTGCAGCTGCCACCACGGTGGGTGAGCCAGGGTCTCCCCAAAGCACTGCAGGCAAATCCCTCCAGCATTCTGGGAGGGAACAGGGCAGGTTTTGTACTGCCTGCTACTGCCAGAACCAACATTCATGGATGCTGACCCCATTGGGGAACATTTATTCTACTGGCAGACACAGGGTAATTCCACGGTTAAAATCAACACAGCACAGGGCAGGGATTTGCTAAAGCCCTGAGTAAGCTCACATGCTCCTAACGAGGGCTGTATCCAAAAGGACTGGCTGTGCCTTGGGGAGGCTGCTGGCCTCAGGCCTTGTCCTGCAGCTGCTGGGTTTTAGATACAGCCTTGCAGAGTTGTTTTGGTTGCCAGCAAGTTCTCTGTGGTCTTTTTATGTTGTTATTTAAATTGCAGCATGTAAGTATTTGTACTGAGAAACCTCTGAACTGACACTAAAAGCACATGGTATCATGTTAACATGTATAAATTAAAATACTAAATCGACAAAAAATGCATCTTAACATAAAAAAAAAAATATATAAGTTAAATGCGAGATAGATATTTCCCTAGAAACTCCATTTTTATCCTAGGAGCAGGTTTCTAAGCAGCATTTTCTTTCTGCCAGAAAACTAGTACTGAGACTTAAGTGTCCCAGGCAAGTGCAACACAGGGTCTGATGATGCTCATGGTGGAGTCAGCCCTTGGCTGAGGGCGAAGCGCAGTGGGTGACACAGCAGATAGAAATACCTTTGTGCTGAATGTCAAGCCTTGCAGCACTGCTTTCTATCTCATTCCTCCTTCCCCAGAGGACAGTCTGCTGCCACTCTCTTTGTCTTACAGAAAGATAAAAGCCATCTTTGTGATAAGACCTTCTGTCAATGCTCTTGGAGGTGGCAAAGATGCAGCTGGCTCAGTGCACCTGAGCACCCACGCTCCTGGAGCTGCTCTCCCTTCAAGGAGAATGGGTCTCCCACACTGGAACAGGTCCGCATACCAAGGAGGTCCTGGGTGACTGCTCAGTAGCCGTGGTCCACTCACAGCACACAACTGTGCTTCTGTCAGGATGACCAGAGAGCAAGGACAGATGCCCACAGTGGTGTCAGGGAACGAGCTGCAAGGTGGCACTGCACGGACTAGCAGCACCTCACCTGCGCTGCCAACACATCCCTGCCATGACAGGGGGAAACTGAGCGTGACTACATTTGCTACACTACTTTCTCCTGAGTGCTTTGGGAAGGGTGTTCTCTTTCCTCATACCACAGGTTCTATTCCCCACATCCTGGACACTTGGGGGGACAAAAAAAAGCTTGAACACAACTCTGAGGCTTGGACCCTGGCACACAGGCAGTGAGGACATGGCTGTTGTGGCAGAGCTGGCACGCCCAGCAACACTGGCCAGGCACCAGCATCCCCCGCAGAGCCTGCACGCTCCCAGTAGCCTCACCACAGTCCTCCAGAGCCTTTCAGTTAGGGACAGGAAGGTTTCTCATACATCTTGGGCCAACAATGGTTTCTGCTGTCGAGGGGGCTGTAGTTGTGCGTTTGGATGCTCTTTTTGTGTGACTGTTCAGGCCACAGCCCCCCTGTGCCTCCTCCTGCCACACAGCTGATGTGCAGGTTGGCCACTGTGTGTGCAAAGCTCAAGTTAACAGGTTAGGAATGTGCTGAACCCTCCCCTCCCACCACCATGTCCTTCATCCTGGCTTCCTGAGCACCCAAGCAGGTACTGCAGGATGCCATAGGCAAATATTTGGGACAGAAACTTGCCATGCTGTTAGGATGATGGTCCTGCCTAGTTGGAGTAGAAGTCTCCTTGCTCAAAACACCTCCTGTATGCTCAGGATGGGAGATGGAAGAATGACCTTCACTGTCACATTACAGTTGAAGGGTTTTGCCTTCCCTCATCTCCTTGGTGCACTTTCCTTGCAAATTAGATTTCACCTCGGCTCCCTGGCCCCCCATGCACTCCCTGCATGCAGCAGCAGCACTTCATGCCTCACTGGAAAGATGAGGTTCATGGTGCTGCAGGTTAAATGGTAAGGCAGCCAGCAAGAGAGTAGAACAAGCTCTCACAGCAGCAAGGCAGCCAAGATAGTCTACAGAAACTGTACAGGTAACAGAATAAAGCAGGGAAAGTGAAAGTGCCCCTGGCCTGCAACTGCTCTTGCACAAACTCTTTACTCAGTCCAGAAAATTACAGAGCCCTGCACTTCTTCCTCATGGCATCCACTGCTGAGCTAGATGGATACCCGACTGCCTGACAAATGGGAACCATGTAGAGGACTAAACCAGAGAAGAACTGGACTGTGATTAGATGGCGTCTCTGATGTTGCATCGGTGATTGAAGAGTCAATGGATGAACACAAAGTGTGAGAGATTTAGAATTCAATCTTACAGGCTGGAAAAGATTCGTCCTGCATCACAACAGTGCTGCTGCTTGCCAGTACCATGATGTTTAGCTCCTGCTGTTTCTCATGGGTCTGTTGATACCATTCTCGTGTCACCTCAGTATCATGTGTTGGAATCAATGTCACCTGGGAAAAGAAAGCAGCAGAGATGATTGAGAACAACCACAGTGACAAACAATGCCCATAGGAGCTGAGGCTAAAATTTCCTGTTAATTTTGGAACACTGTACCCTTGGTACTGCTTGTTCTATTTAATGTCTTTCAGATGTCAGGTTCTTAGGCAGAGCTTTATTTTATACAGTACCAGCACAACGGGGCTCTGAACTGGCTGCAAAGTGGCAGCACTGACACCATAATTATGAGAATGGCTGCAGTGCAGGGGAGAGCACTGTGCTTGGGAGCTCCAGAAACAACCTCAGAAAGATCCCTCTGTGAAAAGGAACAGTGCTGGCAGTCACTGTTAACGGACATGATGACCAAATGTGCAACTCAGGGGTTGCTTCATCTGAAAGATGTACCTTCTTGTACATGTCTTCAGGAGTGCCCACTTGGGGGTCCTGCAAGCCTGGCTAAGCAAGAACCGTGTTTAAGGACATTCTGCCTTAAAAGCACTATTAGTAAGTTGCTATCAGAAATATCTTCAGAAGCCAGGCTAGCAACAGATGACTGTGATGGTGCTTGATTTTGCTTGAGGATAGGCTCATCCTGTAGCAGGTAAGGAGGAGTATATGATCTTTAAATGCTTTCTCCCCTCAGAAGGATGTGGGAGGACATATCTGCTTCCACTTACACCATTTTGCAGGTGTCCTCCTCCTCATGGGTACAAACAATTACTCTGCTAAAACTGCAGAACAGGACACGCCCAGTACCATTTGCTTCCTCTCAGTGTACTCCTTCAGGTATGTTTGTGATAGCTTCCAAGCACTTGTGACATCATCACACAGCCTTTCACATTTTCATGACCTACCTGCAGGTTGTCTCCCCACTGAGACTTCCCTTCGAGAAGTGCATCCAGCACTGCACGGCTTGGTTCTCCATTGGCTGCATCATTCCCACTCACAACATAATACGATGCTCGAACCCGCTTGAAGAACTCTGGGTCTGTGTTCTTTCCACTGCAGTGGTTGGGGATGTAGGCCAAGTCCACATAGACGGGTGGACCCACAGGCACAGAGAAACTGCTCTTAGGACTATTGGAAGCTTTGGAAAAAAAGAAAACAAGATACTATCAAAACCCTTCTGGAAAGGACAAACACTCAGATTAACAGTGAAGGACTTGAATTCCAGAAAGATTTCTTTCCCTGAAGCAATGAAGTTAAGATTTATCCAGGCTCTGCTGCTTAGAGGTGACCTCGGTGCATTTCTGTGCCAGTGCTGTCACAGATCCTGGAAGGGAAAGGGAGATCTGCTGTTCTTTGGGGAGGGACTGGAAAGCTTTAGGTTGAGAAGCTTTTCCTGGGGAAGGGAATCAAAAATCTCTGTTATCAACTTTTGCAGATTTGTTATCCCAATCAATATTTCATCCTAATCTTTGTTGTTTAATAACCTACATTTTCCAAAATAACCTTTGTTCTGATGGTCCTTCTAAGCTATTCTAGGGCATTACAGTAGTCTTTCTAAAAGGTTCACCCTAGCTTTCTGCCATCCCTGTGAATCGCTGCTACTCCTAGGACTCTCTTGCCCCTTCCTATCAACATTTTGTACCTCAATCTTATCACTTTTTATGTCTGACTGGGAAGTCCTGTTCTCTATTCCGCTGTGTTTAACCTAGTGCTTTTCTCTATGTTGGACCTATAGATACGGTGCATGCTTCAGGAAGGATTTCTTACCAGGGTTTGTTTTGATGCCATTGACAAGGTTCTTGCCAGGGTTGCTGTGACTACTTCGGGATAACTCATCCTCCGGCATCAGCACACTACGTGGTTTGGGCTTTTCTCCTCCATCTCTTTCTTTTTTGGCAGTGACAGATTTTGGAGATTTGTCTGATGGCTGTTTCACAGGAGTGGGTGATCGTTTCCCTTTCACATCTGATTTCCGCACAGGTGAGGAAGATTTGGGTTTGCTCAAAGCCTTCCGTACACCTTTGTTCTTTTCTTTTATGTCCTTCTTAGAAATTTTATCAGTTCTGCTCATGCTTTGGTCATTTACCAACATATCAGGGTCTACCATGCAGACATCAGGGTGAGGGGGGTGGGGATGGGGATCTACCATTGGAACAGGGTGAGGATCATGGCTGGACCTAGAACTGGCATGATGAGCATTCCCCACAGCTTTGTCCACTGGGAGGAAATCAGCATCTTCATCCGAGTCCATGTTGGCATCTGCTGTGATGGACGGGCATTCTTCAGTCTCAGGCGGGACATCCGAGTCTGACTGGGAGGTTCCAGAATCACTCACCGATGTTGGAGGGGTTTCCTCCACTGTGGCACTTTGCATGGGGCTGCTCGCAGTGTGGGGTGGTCTCCCTTGCACTGAAGGGTGACCGTCCTCCTGTGAAAGGTCACTGTCTTCAGAGAGCTCATGAGGGCTTGGGTTGATGAATGAGGGAGAGAGCTCTCCCTTTCTCTGCTTGTATTCACATGAGGAAAATTTCTGTCCACAATCAAAACTGCCTCCTAAATGTGGCTCCATGTCATGGGAAGCATCTCCATGGTCCTCTGCTTTTCCACCTCTCTGCATATCTGGGATAAAGGGCTGGAAACTGTGTTCAGGGGACATCAGAGAGGAAGGGCGGCTTTGCCTCTCTGTATCGTCTTTGCCTGTGCATGGAGAAAAACTGCTGTCAGAATCGGGATATGTTCTTTCATCATTTGCCTCTGCTGCATGGTACGTGCTTTGGAAAGCTTGCAGACTGGTGCTCACCTCTGTTGGACCATTGGCTGTGGTTTCATCTTCGTGCTGATGATGAGGAAATGATGTCAACACATCAGGGAGAGATGTCACTGTCAACAGCTGTTCTGCAAATGGTGCCTTCTGCTCTGGACTGCTGCCACAGGGCTGCTGCTCTTCCTTCCCAGAGGATGGCGTGGGCTCTGAGAACTGGCACTCCTTTCTGCATGGCAAGGTGCTGTCACCCATGCCACAGAAGAATGGAGAACTGTGTTTTTCAGCAAACACAAAATCTTTGGTTTCAGC